TTTTTCAAATATTCATGCGTTCTCAAGAACTTCCTTTTCCTCTGCGCTTTTAAAAATTTCATAACTATCTTTGTGTTCAGAACTGCGATAATTAGGGTTGGAATGAACGAGTAAAGAGCAGCATCTACCCATGGCCATGTTTTGTTAACCAAAATGTCAAACTGATCTACACTGTAACATAAACTTACGTTCTGGACACTCCGTATCTCCACCGTAAAGAAAAAATGCGAGTTGATGAAGGAAAACACAACAATTGGGGCGAATACCCAAATTTTGGTTAATCGTGTACACCTGAAAGCTGATTTCATATGTAGTGGTCTGCAAACAGCAAAGAAACGTTCAATGGTGACTGTAACTATTGTCCAGACTGAAGCATCACTGCACACGTAACCGATAAACACAACAAGCTTACACATCAATGGAGACCCATTACGTGGATCCACGTCCCAGATCTGCCCCACCCACAACCTTAGTAGACCCACGTATAGAATTAACAAATCCAGGATTGATAAAACACACAGGTAAAGGTACAATGGGATTTGAACAGTGTGCTTCTTTAGAACAAGAAACGATAATAAATTCCCTGTGGTACCAATTACAATCAAAATTGGAGGAACTATTTGAAGAAGTTTTTTATGAATATAGTACGGATAGTAGGTAATCAATTCTCTTTCGTAATGATGAAGTATCATTTTGAATTTATATTGCAAAATGACACACAAAGTTAGCAACCACTTCTTGATAGAGGAAAAGCATCGCATCACGTGACAGCTTGACGTCATTGACGAAAATTCATTGTAAGAGTCCATTGATCGTAAGCATTGTAAGAACTTTCTGTTACTTTAGTAAGGCTTTGTATAAATTGGATATTGTATGGTGTCGCAAGGTACATTGTTCTTTGCTGTAAGATATTCAATATAAATGTACAACTTTATAACATGTCGGTGCAAATTTGATACGTTGAATATATAGCCTAGGAATCGTTGTCATGATTTCAAATTAATTGTACAGTCATATCTTTACCTCGATCTCATCCATCCAAGTTATTTTACAGTCTCTCTCTTTTTTTTTAAATTAAATAGTTCAATATCACTTCTTTTCATTTAACTATATTATAAAGTTGATGAGCAATCGCATGTCCAGTTGAGACTTGAATGCCCAACCATCCACGTCTTTTTGTGACAATTTATGTCGGTTTTTTTGTAGAAGCAAACAAAAAATATATTACAAATCAATTTTTATTAAGATATCACTGATTCTTTATTCTTAATATGATTTTTTTATCAAGTAAAATTAATTTCATTTGAATTATCTAATCAAGTACTGAGAAAAATTTACGTCATACTAAAGTCTGAATCATACTTTAATAACATGCACAATGTATCTTCTTAAAGTGGTTATGTATTAATTTTTTTTTTCACAATTTCTATTTTGAAAGAACTGATTTATTTGGAAAGACAAGGTATTGATTTATACAGCCGTTTGAGAGTTAATACTCGTATTTTTATCCGTTGATTATTGTTGCTTTACATTAACGTATTTAAGTCTCGGCTCACAAGAAAGAGACAACCCGACTGAACATTATTACAAGGGGAAACCAATGGTGTAATTATCAAACTGTGGTAACGTCCATATCAGTGACGGCAGATTGCAAGGTATATAATAAACTCATGCTGTTAAAGTCGATTTAAATACTACTTTGGACGGGAGAAGGAACACAAAAGACACATACTTTTTCCGTTCTAATAAAACTTCCAGGAAACCCAGTGAAACGTAAGTCCCAAACATTAACCGATTCATTTTCCACAAAATTGTTGAGTGATTTTTTTTACTCTTTTATTCAGTACAAAGGGTAGCATTGCAGACACAGCTCGCTTTTTTAAAAAAAAAAAGATTAAACTTAACTGTATATGTGCATAAGACAAAGTAGTACATTGTATATTACTTTATTATTCACTTCACTTGACCTTGTTATCATTGTTATTATTCACTTCACATGACCTTGTCAGCAAGTACAATCTATCATAAAGTCAAATGCTGACTGACGTTTTTCATACTAGCTGTTAGACCATTATTTACACACTGAATTGTCGACGGATTTTCCGTTATTTCCCGATTATGACAATGAGCACACGTTAGGTGTGACCGGTCGGCAGGAGATGCTCACTCCTCCATGGCACCTGATCCCACCTCTGATGGTTTAGAGGCCCGTGTTTGCTCTGCTCCTGATTTGTATTGTTTTAATGGACTTTTGAGACTTAGCTGATTTGAGTGGAACAGGCAAAAACGTTTAATAAAATCATTTTTAAAAAAAGACAATTGCCGCCTTCTTCCAGCTGGTCATCCAGCAGCAAAATTTTTTTTTTAATTTTGAATATTTTAATCGCAAAAAATTTGATTTTTTAACAATTGGTTGGTACAAAGTTGGATACAACGAGTAATTTATTAAGCCTATACAAGATTTCAAATAGCCGATTGAGTCTTGGCCTTCTTTTCCCTAGCATTAGGACACACACGCATCAGAAGAAGAAAAAATCACATACATAGTTGTATTTCCTTTATTCAGACTTATTGAATTGCCACAAAACTAATTAAGACAGGGACTTTATCTAAAATCAATAAATCAAAGATTTAATAAATGAATAAAAAAATCAGCAAATAATTAAAGAAAGGATACTGATTGGAAATGACTTTAATATTACAAGGCAGATAAATATTCGGCATTAATGGTCACGTTTCTGTCGAATGATGCAAATACATATCACTTTTTCGAATTGAGCAACTTCGACCAGCTGGTAAATGTTGTATTTAAAAATCAGTATGCTATAATGCTTTTCTATAAATGCTTCTCTAGAGGTTCATATATGCACCCTTGGATGAAATGTGTAATATTTTGAACTCTATGGTTTGTCAAGTGTAGATGAATCAGTCATTCTAGTATTACATGGGACCATTTTTTTTTTTAAATGTTTGTTTGTCCTCTCCCGACCGAATGGCTAAAAATGACCCGATTAAAAACTATTTTTAACCTCTACAAGAAACAATTTTTAAAAACTTTTCCCCTGAAGTTTCTTATCCTGTCAGCAAGCATGTTGAAATTTTTTGAAAAAAAATTTGCCACCTACCTACCGACTCATTTTTTTTTAACCTGAGTCGGGAGAGGACAAACAAACATTATTTTAAAGACGGCCTGGTTTTAATCTATTGTTAAAGATACATATGCATGGTTTAATCGATTTTCATAAGACTGGTTTATCACCGTGAAAAACTCCTCTTAATGCTTGATATATCATTGTATTATAATGTTCCATTATGATTATCATACCATTCTGATAATTATCATACTAGTAGACATGCAGCTAACAAACAGGAATCATTTAAGTATTATTGTACTATATAGTCAGTATCTTTGAACTTTTATTAATTACCAGAATCGATTCGTCTGACATTCTCTGCATCCTCACGGTTGTCTATATACTTAACAGTTAACATATGACAAACGAACGAGGCATGTCGATTTAAAATATACGAATTGTTTTTAATAAAGCATGCATGTATTTTCAATAAACCATACAATCCATGGCGTGTTTTATATATAAATTTATATGTTATTTATACAGATTTTCAAGACGTACATTTATTGAAACTTCCTTGCGTTATCAAATGAATGTTAATGAGCAAAAAACAAAAAACAAAAAACAAAAAAAAAAAAAAAAAAAACAAAAAAAACAAAAACAAAAAAACAAAAAAAAACAAAAAAAAAAGAAAAGAAAAAAAAAGGAAGAAGACCCCCCCCCCTTTCGTTTTAATAAGAAACGTTAGGACTACCAATTAAGTTGGTGGTGCAATATTCCTTTGACCATGCAGGAAAGTCTACGAAGCCAATTTCAACAATGCTTTCTTGCGTTTTACTATATACAACCATATATATATATATATATATATATATATATATATATATATATATATATATATATATATATATAAGAAAACTTACTAAGGATTGACTGAAACTGTCGCCTTACACAGAAAGATTTCAGAGTAGAATTCATGATCGTTCCTCGTTCTTTACAACCTCTAGTCAAAAGATCTCCAACAGGTTGTCGTAGGCCCTATATGTTTTAAAAGATGCAACATAAAACACTCTTTTTCCAGGATTTCATATTGTGTACATACTGAGTATTTTGTACATGATCAAAAATAGCGTTCTTCCGACATGTTAACTCCAAAAGTGCGACGTCAACATGTACGCATCATCAAATTGGGTTGAAATCAAATTAGCATACTTGATTCTGACCATCCGGCGCGCCCGGGTAAACCGGCGATGACCGGCGACACACTTGATTCTGAGCCGGGGTTGCGCACGCATCGATTGAGCCGGAAAAATTTGATAGGCTCGCGCGGTTTCAACATGGCGTCCTTGGGGATAGTAGTGTTGAAAGTTGTTTGTTTTATGACGTGCAGCTTTTGATCGAAGTACGCTTGTGAAATGGACATATTTGCAAAAAGTGTAGTTCTTTTGAATGCTAGATAATGTTTTACGATAGAAATACAATATTCCTATTACTTTACATGAGCCTGTTCGCTTGATTCTAAGAGCGTACCGGGGTTTACCCGGCTTGGTTCGACCGAATTCTATCACAATCAAGTATGCTAATTAATAGTTTCACAGGGGTTATCTCAAAGTTCTGTTAAAAACGAAAAGATGAAACGATGAGATGAATATCTAACAACTATAATTATTATTTGATTTCTGCTTTATCCAACTCATTGAAAAAGTGTATCGGCAAGCCTCGCCAATATACACCATTAATTAGAACTCGTTTGGAAAAAGCAAAAATCAAATCACACAAGATATCCTCTCTCTCTCTCTCTTTATATATATATATATATACATATATATATATATATATATATATATATATATATATATATATATATATATATATATATATATATATATATATATATATAGTAACAAAAAAGTCATTCAAATATGCTTCAATGTGTGCAAATCAAACTGTATTTACAGCGTGGTGTGAAGAAAATGTAAAAAGTGTGAACAAGTTCATATTTTGTGCTAAAATATCTCTGTATTATTCATCAATAGCGATGAAGTGTATTGTTCATTTATATTATAAAAAGTTATTAATTTAACTGATTAATTGTAAATTTTAAAATTGTTTCTAGTATCTTGAGTCTCTTCTTGTATAGTCGCCACTATGTGTACTATCGACGTCGTCTTGAGGATCATACTCTGGCATTGGATATGAAGGACCTTCAATAGATTCAGGCCGGAAGTCGCTACCTCGCCTGTCTATACTACTACGTCTGCTCATGTACGATGGAGGCGGCAGAATCGGATCCGAATCAGGAAAGAATGCCATGGATGCTCTAGGACTTGTTGATAAACTGTCTCCCCATCTTGGGCTCATAACTGACGGAGCTATCATTGTGTCCCTGCGAGACAAAGGGCTAGGAGTAAATCCTCTCATTTCTGTGTCACTTCCTAATCGAGATCTTGAAGGACTTCGTGTTCTGTCATCCCATCGCCCTGGACTTCCAGAGTGGTCTTCCTCGTCATCATAACGTGAAGGACTCCTTCGCCTGAACTGGTCAAACCGAACTGGACTTCCACTTCGGCTTGTTATGGACGTTCGCCTGTCTTGGCGTGAATAGAAACCGGTTGTGGATGGCTGAAGAAGATCTGATCTAAAATAACAATACAATTTGAAAAAGAAGCATTTTAGCTTTACCGTTGATAAAGAAAGCAAACAATGAAACCGTGGGGAGCTATTGAAACATACTACCCTACCTTCCAAGCATGCTAGTTGCCAACCCAACATCGCTTAGCCTTCGACCTGGAGTTGCTCTACCACTAAGTTGACTTGTTGTTGGATATACAGGACGAAGATACTGTCCAGGTTGGTTGGTGGGGGGCTGTGCTGGGGTGGCTGCAGGGCCAAGCCCGGCTTGTGTTGACTGTTCGTCTGCCTGAGAGGGAGGAACGGAAGGTGTTGCGTCTTCGTCAGACGGCACAGGAAGTTTTGCGCGGCGTCGGAAAGAACCAAGACGGTGTCTCTGCTCCCAAGCTTTTTGTCGAAGTCTTTCTTCGTTCCTCTTCTTTTCCAATTCCTAAAAGTAATTCCACCTTAAGTTGAAGTTTTAATTTTAAGTTTAACTGTGACTTAGAACTTATAATTACAGCATTATTTCTGAAGTCACATGTATGCCATTTTTTTTTAGCCAAGGAGTAACATAAATTAAGAGTTTGCATATACATGTACCTCTTTCCGTTGCTTATCGACAATCGATGTCACATGATACAGAAGGTCATCAATTTTGGTCTCCGTCGAATCTTTGCCCATTCCAGCAAGTGATAGAGCGCGATCAAGAGGGAAGAAATCATAATTCTCCTTTAAAAGCTACAAAAGGGCATTCAAGTTTACAAAATAATTAAATATTTAAATTACTGATTTCTTTACTCATCATGTTTATATTGTTAATTTTTTGGATTTTTCTACCGAACTAAACTTTTAAGTGAGCAGATTAGAATTATTCATCATGGTGTCCTCTTTGAGTACTTACCAGTTTATGGACATACATTTCTAATGCGGTGTAATCGTTAACTTTAGTTCCGTGAAGATGGATAAAAAAGAATATATAAGACCACATGTTGTGCTCGAACCTAACATGATGGTCAAATCCCTGTAAGCAATGAAGGCAAATAAGTTAATAAAAAAGCCGTTAGTGTTAATGCTATTGAAATTAAGTTTCTAATGAGAGAAATTGGCCAATACTAAAGTTATCCATAGTAATTACCTTGCCGTGGTGTTCAAAGTCGTAACTGTTTCTGCTGCAGATAAAACAAGTGTCCCGCATATCAGCCTCTGCCGTCCACTGTTAGGAAAAACAAGCATCTTGTCATTCCATTATCATTTCTTACTGAAAGCAAGTTTTTTTCAAATTTTTACAGAGAGTTGACATTAACGGAACATAGAAAACTAAAATAGCATGACATAAATTTCTGTTGCAATATCTAGCGTACACACTGTATACCAGTCTGATTATTTTTACGTTTCAGTTACCTTGAGGTCCCTAAGTTCTGAGAAGGTGTCCACAATAATACCGAAGATGATGTTCAGACCAATGGTGGAGACAAAGATGAAGAAGGAGATATGGTAGACGACAACCAGCCCAAACTTATAAAACGACGCTTCCGACTTGTGAGCATTTACATTCTATAAAGGTAAGTGAAAATGTATTTAATAGCAGACAGTTAGGGTTATAAAGAAACTAATCACAAAATGGAACTCTTAATTTGAGATACATGTAAAGATGCAACAACTTCAATTCGTAATCAAGAAAAATTAAACGATTAAGAATTGTAAAGAAGCTAAGTAAATAGAAATTGAAAGAGTGGATTCTTTATAGAATTGTTCGAGATATACAAAGATAAAACCTGGATAGCACATTCATTTTATACATGAGAATTAAGAACCAGTTACATGTACTGGGATTTATAAGACTGTACGACTATAAGGAATCCACAGAAGTACATTCACCAGTGGAAATCACCACCGACAAACATTGTTGCTGTCCCCACACTTAGTTTTGAAACGAAATGAAAATTGAACGAACGTATTATTGATGTTAAGAATTGTAATATTTAAGAGAATACTGATATTTAGTAGCCCACCTCAAACATGTCCCCGATCAATCCGTATCTGATGACTGAAACTGTACACTCCCATAACGAGGCACAGTAGAGGTAATCGTCAGGGTCAAACATGCTCCTCATCAGCGCAAAGCTGATAATGCCATAGAGGTAAAACACCACAAGACCCAGAATCGCTACCCAGATCAACGACCGACCTAAGTACAAACGGAAAAAATATACATGTACTAATAAATATACATTCTGATTATTCCAGTTATTGTTTTAAACTTTGACACGTCGCAGTGGTGGATCCTGAAATAGAGAGGGAGGGGATGACAATACATGTAGCAAATACTCCGAATATCTTAAAAAGAGGGCTATTTTTCTCACATAGTCGTTGGTAAGTAAAGGGACGGGGATTCCTGTCCCAATCCATCTATCCGCCACTATTTTCAAGAGTTGTTTCAAATGGCGAGTAAATGGGACTCACCGTTTTGTGTTACAGCTTTTATGACTCCCGACAGAAGCTGGTTATTGTTGACAATGTTTAGAAGATGGAATGCAAAGAAATATCCGTGGTACATTGTTCCCGCGATGGACAAAGCAAGAAAACCCTTGAAAAAGATATATTTAGGAAATTTAGCCAAATCATTTCAAAATAACACGATTCTGATTAAACAGGTTGAACTGGAAATAATTCTATACCAAATAATAGAATGTTGTAAAACTGAAGAACTTTGCATCCAAGTTGGACTGATGTTTGTTCTTCTTGTCATCCTCATCTTCATCTTTTTTATCCCGAGAACAAGATTTTCTGTAGGTAAGAAATGATCACCCAAGTGTATTCTGTCAATTGTTTACTGGTGTAATTAATGTTTTTTAACATTGAATATCATTAACGTCGATTAATTAGTCCACTCTTTTTTATTGTTACTCACTTTATGGACTTAAAGATACTTCTGAAATGCGGGAGACGTGGATGATTCCCAAGAAAGTAACTGATGACTACCAAGGTGGTAAAGAAATTATGCATGCCACCGAGTGTGTACAGAGCCAATCGGTACTCCTCGTCAGTCAACGTAGATATGATGGGAATAGGACTGTTAAGTACGAAAATTGCGGAGTGTAATACTGTTTAACAACTAAATATTACTTTTTAAAACCTGTTTCCATTATAAACGTCTAATAATCACTCCAGGCCTAAATGGCCTCACTTAAATTAAAATAATAAGACTTTATGACAATAGCCTCTTTTTCCGATACTGTGAAACTGGAAAGGTTTTAGTAACGTAGTGGATTAATGTTTAAGTGGAATTCCTTACTCTCTGACTACCTCCGGTACCTCCGTGGTATTTTGCATGATTTCTTTCACTTCCGGACTTGCTAACGACGCCTTTGCCTGCCACGTGACCAACATCAAAATGTTGATCGTAAAACTTAGAATGGTTACAATATGGTTCCAGACAAGCCTTCAAAAAAAGCAATAATTGCTGTAGGAGATTGTCAAGTGACTTTTTACAAAAGGAAAGGTACAGATACATTCAGTAAAGAAAGAAAATGCGTACCACCCCTTTGTGAGACAGATAGCTATCGGGTTACTTAGAATGTGTCTCTGGTATGCAATGTCTTTCATAATGTCTTTCGTCCATTCCATTAGTTCTCTTATCTTGTTGCTAGGAGACGATCTGTCCACGGTCCATTTTAACATTTCTTTTACTTCTTCCCGTAAGACTCGCTATGAAATGTGAACAGCGGCATATTTAAGATATAATATACATTAGGTATTAAGGTTAGCATTTACTTATTGTAGTTTTTTGTTGAATAAAAATAGCGATCTTTAGGGGATTATTGCATCCACTTAAAATATTTAAATATACAGAATTTACTTTCAGGAATAATTACTGAAAGACATTTCATGTATCACACTTTTTTTTTTGAAAATAAAAGCCAACTTAAACATACATTGGGCTTCACTAAATATTTTATCGTAAAACTTAATTTATGACAGGATATAAATCCTTTATCATAGTGGAATATTTATTACCTTATTCTTAACTCTAAAGTTCACTTTTTGCAGCTCATCGTCTTTCACAATTTCAATGCTCTGACAATTTTTCCGGTAAAAATTTATTGCTTTCTGCTGAAGTAAATCCAGCTTTACTATAAATAAAACAAACCAATCTGTAAGTGCTGGATTTCTCTTTCTCTCCCTCACATATATATATATATATATATATATATATATATATATATATATATATATATATATATATATATATATATATATATATATATATATGATACCTTAGGATGTATCAAGCAGCTTATTTTTCTATGCATAATTTTTTTAAAAAAAATATGTCTGACAGTACATATGATACCTTAAGATGTATCAGGCAGCATATTTTTCTATGCATATTTTTTTTTTTAAAATCTGTCCGCCGGTATACAAAGTTTACATACTATATCCCGCAAGCTTTGGGTCTACATCAAACATGCGAGCAAGGATGAGATAAAATCGGAATCCCACGTCCATATACTCGTCCGCAAACTCTTCTTTTTGTTTTCTCTTAATGAAAATATTTGATTAATTAATAGTGAGTTAAATAATCATGTAAAATCTACTTTAATATAAAAATAAAATGAGAGCAATAAATACGTATATAATTTCTTAAATCTTAATTAATGAATTCTGTTACGGAAATAAAACATTCACGGAAGTAAAAGGAAAAAAAATCCCTCTATTTTTGTGAATAAAAGAGCCATACAATCTACTACTTCGCTCTCAAAATTATTGATAAAAAGCAGTACGTCGTGTTTCCGTTAATTAAACCTAACCATTCCTTTGAAGAAGGATTGGGCTTGAGAGAAAGATTTCATTGCCGACTGAGAAGGAACAGCCTCCATTCCTAGGGAGATGTTTTTCAATTCTTCAATCTTCTTTTTATCGGTTTGATGCATCTCATAGCATTCGGTCATAAGTCCAATGATCGCCTTTTTATCCAAGGTGTCTTTAACTTCCTACAGATAAACAATTTAGTCTTTAATTACCGCCCTATGTTTTTTCTGATGGCTTCCTGCAAGATATTTAACCATTCTTTGATTTTTGTTTAGGTAATGTTGGAAGCCTTTTCTATTACCTTTATCTTTCATATGCCTCTAAGAGACCAATTTACTGGATGTAAGCAGTCCATCTGTGGTATATGTATATGAACTATTAATGCTCATCAGTGAAATCATTCATAAGAAAGGCTCTGAAGTATTGATGAAACTAAGAATATGCTATTGATTTTAGAATGACAATGCTCATCCTGTTCTTTTAAAGTAGAAACTTTTAAGTTTAAAGTTGAAACTATATGTATTATGAACCAATGCAATACAAAATTTTGACATAATTGCAATGGTCACCACACTTATATATCTAATAAAATGTAGAATGTTATGCTGGTTTTAGTACTTGATACTTTGATATTTCTATGGCCTACAGTTCCAAATAAGGTAAATTAAGATAAAAATAGAAAATCCTTTTGGTTAGTTTCCATATGAAATATGTATTTGCTTACTATTGAAATGTCTGTTTTCCCAGGGCCATTTTCTTCAATCAAGGACAAAATAAGATTGGCTATGCTTTCACGGAGCCCAAGCACCTGGAATAAAATATTGTTTATTGATTATTGATATGCAGTATTCAATTAAAGATAAGTCTGTTTAAACAGCAGAATTTGACCAGTGATAAAATCTTTCTTGAATTCATTTTTTGTGATATATTCATTCGTAAAACTTATCCATTTGTAAAAGATCAGGGGGAAATGTGAAAATCGTCAAACAATACAACAACAAAGTGAAGTATTGTACATTGTCATTGGGTCGTAAACTTAAAATTTGGTAAAATTACTAGTATGACAAATTCTCAATGGGATTACAAGTGAAAAGGAGATACAAAAACGCCATGATTAATGAAATCCACTTCAGAATTGCATGCACATTTGTTAATATTTTAGAAATATCTGAATTCTCGAGTGAAACGCTTTTGTCATTCATCTTACTTTTTCTGTCGGACAAGATTGAAACTCAGCAGCACGGAGGATGAAGTTGATATAATCAATGATTTTATTGTCAAATATAACCACTCGATTGTCTTGGTTGCCCTGAAAAGAGAAATACGTTGTAACATGATAATGATCTGAATACTTAAAACAAAATTCAGCATGGTAATCATTAAATTTTCATTTAAATTTTTCAAAAATTAAATTTTTGAATGTATGTCTGAAAAGATTTTGTTTAACTGCTTCACAAAAATATATTGAGAAAAAGAATTAATCATGACTTACGAAAATAAAAGGGCAACAATGTCAATGACAATCAAAATCGATACACTAATTAGAAAACCTGAGGCCCCCTATGTTCCACCCAGAATTAAAAGAAACCATGATGATAAGAACACTCTATTCCGCTCTACTAGTATATCTTCCTTGTTTATGCCTTTCATTTCATTCTTTAGCAAACCAGTTGAAAATACTACAGTTACTATATACATGACCTTTCGACCTTTAACTTTGACCTTGTGCTTTGAACTTTTTGATTTTTAAGCGTTTTGTCTATATATTCTCGAGTAATAAATCGGGATTTATTATTCGTTAGGTAAAATAACTACTATGATAATTACAGTTTGCTGATCACTCTGTGACCAGGTCCTTGATTGTTTTAAGGGGTCTAGTTTTAAACAGGGATATAATTTATAATATTTTAATATTTGCTGGAGGAATACAAAAACAAACCGCTGTAAATTCATTCATTGTTTCAAACAGCTGAATGACCAGATCAATATTCTTTCCATTGATGTTGGAGTACACCACATTTAGAAATCGCGTCACTTCCCCTATGATGTTGAACGATTTGACGTTGTCGGGTTGTTCTCTCAAGTAGTCCTGCAAAAAGATTTATGAGGTTTTAGATAAAAGTCTGCTAACTATGTCAAAAAGAGTGTCAGCAAAGGATTGTTATAGAATTTTTTATCCATACTTTACCTGTAACTGGTGGTTCTGACCATCACACATCCTTGCCATCACCTTGAGCACCAGTTCTATGTAGCCATCGTTTCTGTACTCCAAGGATTCCTCCTCCTCTTCTTTTACCTCGGGTTCGGGAATCATTGTTTCGGGTTCCGGTTCCTATACAGAGTGAGGGATGAATTATTTTCACACATGATAAGATATATCTTTAGGGACGATACAAGACACCAAATAATGATATATAGATTTGCAAAAGACTAACGTAGGTTTGATAAGTCCATGTAATCATAATTAAATGCAGCACATACAAATTTTATAGAAACAAAATCTACTAATGTCGCTATATGTGTACAAGAACATAAACAAAAAAAAAACGCTACAGAGTCGCATGCTTGATACCTCAACTTTGATAGCAACCATTTCTGTTTCAAACTCTTGAGCCAACATTAGTGCTTGGTCTTCTTTCGTCATTGGTGGTGCAAACGATACCTCTTTTTTCAAACCATTTGAGGCGGAGTCTTTCACTTTCACCTGTTTCTTTGGGACCATGCGATCTTTTGGTGCCTTTGGTTTTTTCTTAGATTTTGAATGTGAGCTATGCTTCTTTCGCGACTTCGAATAAGAAAGAAAAAAGATTATTTTTGAATTTCCTATTACCAAGAGTAACAATAGCTATTTCTTTGTTTTTAGTTACTTCCCAATTCAAAATTAATTCGAAAAACTGTTCAACACTAGATTTTGTTTTGACATACCCATCCAGCTAATCTCTGCTGTCGTAACGCATCTTCATATGCCTGTATTTGCTATGTAAAATGAGAAAAACTCCCCATCATTCTATGAAGTAAAAGTAAAATTTGATTCATCAAGTATTGAAACAAACGTCATAGTTTTGCGACAACGATTCTTCTCAATTGTAACCTCTATTGTAGTCACAATCTTAGCCGTTTTTCGCTTTCATTACTAAGCTCATAAAAATCATTGTAAATACAATTAGCCTTATTATTTGATTCGCCCTTATCTATGATTACACTAGAGGAAAATATTTTTTGGACATTGAGAAAATTATAGTGTGTAAAGGTGTAAGCATTGAGCTTATGTATCTCATTTTCAGCATAGGGTGCCTTGCATTTACACCCAGGAAAAATGTTCAAAGACAATGAAGTACTGATGAGCATAAATCACTGTTGTTTACTTAAGTGGGCAAAATACCTGCACATGCAGTGTTCTATCTATTCATCTTGGCCTATTAAAGTGTTATGAATGCTTGATTTGATCGCAAATTAAGTAATAAACTGTACATTTCAATTTATTTTATTCTTGATCAAAGGGCAGATCACTCTATCTGCATAAAAATACCACAAAATCAGAATTCTCTAGTGTGCAGTGTATAGAGGGTTCTTAATTGATCAAATGGTTCCAGCCTACATAAGAAAGGTAAAGATAACGAACAGTGATCGATCTCATATATCCTGTAAACAATACAAATCACGAACAAAGAAAAGCACAGATCCCTGGAAACATCAGAGATGACCGCAGTTGCCTAAGAGAAGTAAGCATTCCCTGTCGACCGGTCAAATTCACCGTGAGCTTCTGTTCTGATCAGGTAAATTGAGTAATTCACATTCAAAATTAGTGTAAAGAAATAGTCAAAAAAACGACCCAAAGGAAGGTTTTATTTGCAAAATGATGACTTTACACGAAATTGCTTTAAGCCCTGTATCATCAAGTTCTTTGTCAGTAGCCTGTACTTTTAAAAGAACATGTTCTTGCTCATTGACTCAGTTAGGAGACATAAACACCATATACAGATGATATTTGGAATATCAATGCATAATTAGGTGTAGTTGATGATGGAAATGGTGAAGTCTTCTTGTTTGTCATACAGTTATTAGTTGGCCACTAACGTCTATATTCTATATACATCCAAATCTGAAACGAACGTGGCAAACTGTGGTGTTTTTTTAAATTATAGTTCACTAAGATATATCCAGTCGACATATTCGTGAAAATAACTAATGGTCGCCTAACAATGTGGCATAATTAGTGCCTGTCGGAATTCCAACAGATTACTGGAAGACATTGTCTCTAAGATCTACATAGATACTGTTAATGAGAAACTCTATTTGTGAGTCGAATTTATTTCTAATAATAGTAATACATGTAACTTGACCAATCAAAAGATGTGAACATATCCGAGTTCCATTTGTTGTTGAAGAAGTTGTCTATGATGTCAAAAAGTATGGTCTATAGTTTATGAGGAATGGTTCTGTTACAGCCATGCTCGAACCTTGCTAAACTTGTCTCAAAAGAGCATTTTTAAAACTTACATATGCGAAAATCTTACAGATTCTTTCAAGTTTTCTATCTATTTGGTGCTCTGCTATCAAGTTTCTTCCAATATCCTGTTGCATCGTTAGCCACAGATCATACATTCATAATATAAGGTTAGGTTGCTTATTCAACCAAAATTTGAAACAAAATTGACCTTGCTTAAAAAAATTTTTTTTTTATTGTTTTATGAACTACTAGTATTACATCAAAAATCGCGACTCATTTCGTTTGCAGTCTCTTGTCACATTGAATACAAATAGACCTGTGTATCATTTTTGCATGATTAATAAAAATACACAACTTCTGATACAAATACGCTTAAAAGTTGCTCACTGAATATTAACTCCTAGACCCTTGTGAATGTACTATTAAAAACAAACTATATTACCTTTATGGTTCTGAAAAGCTATACTTTTTGAAATAAGCGCATAAAATCACCGAATACCAATTCACAAGTAGAGTAAGATGACTGAAAAGCCCTCATCAGCCTCAATTCACTTAACTCTTTGGTAATGAGGTGTTTAGGCAATGTGATCCTGTAAAACAGGGTTAATGACAACACAAATTTCTAACACTTCATTGCAAAACCATAACTAAGCGTCTACTTAAGAAATTTGTCAATTTAACAATATTCCTGTCGATATTTCAATACCAGGATGATATTTCGTGACATAACCACAGAAATGTCATATTTACAGAATCCTTGTTTAAATAAACTAATACAGATCTTGTACAATTTAGCTTCCACAGCTTAATATTCATTTGACATGTATTGTTATTCATAATCCTTCTACAATGAGCTTTTATACTAGAAATTCAGACTTCATGCACATGCATCAATGACTGAGAATGGCTGGAGATGAGAGTCTTCCATTGAGCTACCACCGTAGCTAGTTAGGTGCTTTTATCACAGCTAAAGGGCGTTTACAAATGACTATCTGAATATATGCTTAAGCTCGCCCACATATAACTGAAGTTCCTTTGATTGTTTTATAAGGAAATAAACATCAAGTTGGGGCACACTCCAAAAGCTAGCCAGTGAGAGACACTGATGGAGAACCCTCGTTACTGCCCTATACGCCAAAGGCGTCACGGACAGTAAGTAAGAACACTTCAAGCAGACATTTTTACCACGAAAATGAACAAATGAAGAGAATTGTGACATTAAACCCAGGCCCCGGGATCATGAGGCTTAAGTCAAAATCTTTATAGTGTACTGAAATGTTGTAGAAGACAAAAAGACCAAAACAAAAATATAATTTTAACACTGCGTCACCAGAGTGCTGTTATCTGTGAATTAACAGATGAAGTTGAATATAAATATTTTACAGGTGATTGAAAATTTGACTTAAGTTTAAGTCAGTTTATGATTCTTGGGTCTGATGCCCTATCCCGTTTATCGACACTAGTATCTCCTAAGCTAATTATAAGCAAATGTTATGGCATTTTCAAAGAAATCTTTACATGGAATCATGTATTATTGGACTCGATATATCCAAATAAAGTCCAAATGAAAGACACTACAGAATCTACTACATCTGTTTCATTTTTGGATATTTTACGTTTTACTGACAATATACGTTAATGACAACCTATCAAACTAAATTACATGACAACGAGTTGACTTTAACTTTTCCAACGTCAACCTCTCCTTTTTATGTTGTGAGATTCCACTCGCACCTGTCTGGTATTTATGTCTCAAAATTGATGCAAGAGCATGTTCCATGGATGATCAGTTTCTAAACTGAGGAACACTACTGACAAAACAGTTTTTTACAATCTTGTTGAAAGTAAGCATTTTGCAAATTTTATGACCATTATAATGGCCTTGTGTGCAATGAAATGTGAAGATAACGATCAGTTATCATGTTCCAAAAATCCGATAAAACAAAACAAATTGAACAAACACTGATCTTTTAAAACATCAGAGTTCTGATCCCTTATCCACCTGTGAGTCTTTTGCCGTGAACAGGTAAACGGAGAAATCCGATAAAACAAAACAAATTGTACAAACACTGATCTTTTAAACATCAGAGTTCTGATCCCTTATCCACCTGTGAGTCTTTTGCCGTGAACAGGTAAACGGAGAAATCCGATAAAACAAAACAAATTGTACAAACACTGATCTTTTAAACATGAGAGTTCTGATCCCTTATCCACCTGTGAGTCTTTTGCCGTGAACAGGTAAACGGAGAAATCCGATAAAACAAAACAAATTGTACAAACACTGATCTTTTAAAACATCAGAGTTCTGATCCCTTATCCACCTGTGAGTCTTTTGCCGTGAACAGGTAAACGGAGAAATCCGATAAAACAAAACAAATTGAACAAAACTGATCTTTTAAAACATCAAAGTTCTGATCCATTATCCACCTGTAAGTCTTTTGCCGTGAACAGGTAAACGGAGAAATCCGATAAAACAAAACAAATTGTACAAACACTGATCTTTTAAAACATCAGAGTTCTGATCCCTTATCCACCTGTGAGTCTTTAGCCGTGAACAGGTAAACAGAGAAATCCAATAAAGCAAAACAAATTGTACAAGCACTGATCTTTTAAAACATCAGAGTCCCGATCCCTTATCCACCCGTAAGTCTTTTGCCGTGAACAGGTAAACGGAGAAATCCGATAAAACAAAACAAATTGTACAAACACTGATCTTTTAAAACATCAGAATTCCGATCCCTTATCCACCTGTAAGTCTTTTGCCGTGAACAGGTAAACGGAGAAATCCGATAAAACAAAACAAATTGTACAAACACGGATCTTTTAAAACATCAGAATTCTGATCCCTTATCCACCTGTGAGTCTTTTGCCGTGAATAGGTAAACGGAGAAATCCGATAAAACAAAACAAATTGTACAAACACTGATCTTTTAAAACATCAGAGTTCTGATCCCTTATCCACCTGTAAGTCTTTTGCCGTGAACAGGTAAACGGAGAAATCCGATAAAACAAAACAAATTGTACAAACACGGATCTTTTAAAACATCAGAATTCTGATCCCTTATCCACCTGTGAGTCTTTTGCCGTGAATAGGTAAACGGAGAAATCCGATAAAACAAAACAAATTGTACAAACACTGATCTTTTAAAACATCAGAGTTCTGATCCCTTATCCACCTGTAAGTCTTTTGCCGTGAACAGGTAAACGGAGAAATCCGATAAAACAAAACAAATTGTACAAACACGGATCTTTTAAAACATCAGAGTTCTGATCCCTTATCCACCTGTGAGTCTTTTGCCGTGAACAGGTAAACGGAGAAATCCGATAAAACAAAACAAATTGTACAAGCACTGATCTTTTAAAACATCAGAGTTCTGATCCCTTATCCACCTGTAAGTCTTTTGCCGTGAACAGGTAAACGGAGAAATCCGATAAAACAAAACAAATTGTACAAACACGGATCTTTTAAAACATCAGAATTCTGATCCCTTATGCACCTGTAAGTCTTTTGCCGTGAACAGGTAAACGGAGAAATCCGATAAAACAAAACAAATTGAACAAAACTGATCTTTTAAAACATCAAAGTTCTGATCCATTATCCACCTGTAAGTCTTTTGCCGTGAACAGGTAAACGGAGAAATCCGATAAAACAAAACAAATTGTACAAACACTGATCTTTTAAAACATCAGAGTTCTGATCCCTTATCCACCTGTGAGTCTTTAGCCGTGAACAGGTAAACAGAGAAATCCAATAAAGCAAAACAAATTGTACAAGCACTGATCTTTTAAAACATCAGAGTCCCGATCCCTTATCCACCTGTAAGTCTTTTGCCGTGAACAGGTAAACGGAGAAATCCGATAAAACAAAACAAATTGTACAAACACTGATCTTTTAAAACATCAGAATTCCGATCCCTTATCCACCTGTAAGTCTTTTGCCGTGAACAGGTAAACGGAGAAATCCGATAAAACAAAACAAATTGTACAAACACGGATCTTTTAAAACATCAGAATTCCGATCCCTTATCCACCTGTGAGTCTTTTGCCGTGAATAGGTAAACGGAGAAATCCGATAAAACAAAACAAATTGTACAAACACTGATCTTTTAAAACATCAGAGTTCTGATCCCTTATCCACCTGTAAGTCTTTTGCCGTGAACAGGTAAACGGAGAAATCCGATAAAACAAAACAAATTGTACAAACACTGATCTTTTAAAACATCAGAATTCCGATCCCTTATCCACCTGTAAGTCTTTTGCCGTGAACAGGTAAACGGAGAAATCCGATAAAACAAAACAAATTGTACAAACACGGATCTTTTAAAACATCAGAATTCTGATCCCTTATCCACCTGTGAGTCTTTTGCCGTGAATAGGTAAACGGAGAAATCCGATAAAACAAAACAAATTGTACAAACACTGATCTTTTAAAACATCAGAATTCTGATCCCTTATCCACCTGTGAGTCTTTTGCCGTGAATAGGTAAACGGAGAAATCCGATAAAACAAAACAAATTGTACAAACACTGATCTTTTAAAACATCAGAGTTCTGATCCCTTATCCACCTGTAAGTCTTTTGCCGTGAACAGGTAAACGGAGAAATCCGATAAAACAAAACAAATTGTACAAACACGGATCTTTTAAAACATCAGAATTCTGATCCCTTATCCACCTGTGAGTCTTTTGCCGTGAATAGGTAAACGGAGAAATCCGATAAAACAAAACAAATTGTACAAACACTGATCTTTTAAAACATCAGAGTTCTGATCCCTTATCCACCTGTAAGTCTTTTGCCGTGAACAGGTAAACGGAGAAATCCGATAAAACAAAACAAATTGTACAAACACGGATCTTTTAAAACATCAGAGTTCTGATCCCTTATCCACCTGTGAGTCTTTTGCCGTGAACAGGTAAACGGAGAAATCCGATAAAACAAAACAAATTGTACAAGCACTGATCTTTTAAAACATCAGAGTTCTGATCCCTTATCCACCTGTAAGTCTTTTGCCGTGAACAGGTAAACGGAGAAATCCGATAAAACAAAACAAATTGTACAAACACGGATCTTTTAAAACATCAGAATTCTGATCCCTTATCCACCTGTAAGTCTTTTGCCGTGAACAGGTAAACGGAGAAATCCGATAAAACAAAACAAATTGTACAAACACGGATCTTTTAAAACATCAGAGTTCTGATCCCTTATCCACCTGTGAGTCTTTTGCCGTGAACAGGTAAACGGAGAAATCCGATAAAACAAAACAAATTGTACAAACACTGATCTTTTAAAACATCAGAGTTCTGATCCCTTATCCACCTGTGAGTCCTTTGCCGTGAACAGGTAAACGGAGAAATCCGATAAAAAAAAACAAATTGTACAAACACTGATCTTTTAAAACATCAGAGTTCTGATCCCTTATCCACCTGTGAGTCCTTTGCCGTGAACAGGTAAACGGAGAAATCCAATAAAACAAAACAAATTGTACAAACACTGATCTTTTAAAACATCAGAGTTCTGATCCCTTATCCACCTGTGAGTCCTTTGCCGTGAACAGGTAAACGGAGAAATCCGATAAAACAAAACGAATTGTACAAACACTGATCTTTTAAAACATCAGAGTTCTGATCCCTTATCCACCTGTGAGTCTTTTGCCGTGAACAGGTAAACGGAGAAATCCTTAGTCAATACAGTATACAATTAAACGCTTGACAATTTGTATGAAATATGTCAGTCAGCAATTAAACGCTTGACAATTTGTATGAAATATGTCAGTCAGCATTCGACCTATCGACAGATTCATTATATTTGTAAAGAAGGGCATTGTAGCGACCATAGAATTTGTGAAATGTTGACTTTAAGCGAGATTGTAGATACCCTTGTATCTCTAATTTATATGTCAGTAGACTGCTTTGTCTTAGAAATTATTCGTAAGAAAAAATGTTCTTGCGTATCAAATCAACTGAGAGACAGAAACCCCATATGCAGATGATAATGGTATATTCTTAAACAAATAAGGGAAGTTGACGCTAGAAAATTTATATGGTTAAGCTTTTATTTTGCCATATATGGATATCCAGATATGAAGCGGAAGTGTCGGACTCCTTGATGTCTTTTATTTCGTGTTGAGTGGGATATATTGAATCATAAAGAAAATAAAAAATGTGAATTTATAAAATGTAATATATGTATCTAAATATCGAATTGAAGGCCAAAAGACTTTTTAACATAGTGTTTCTGAAAAGCATTGACAAGCAACTTCCAAACACATCCTACCTGGGCCGTTCTTTGAATAACATGTCATACCATTTGTTCGGCCGTTGTTTTCATACAAATTTCAACAACGGATCGCTCCGTTTACTTGATCAATACAGGGGGCTTACGGCGGAAGTGAACGATTGACAGGGGATGCTTACTCCTCCTAGGCATTTAATTCTATCCCTGATGTTTTCAGGGGTCCGTTTTCCCTGTTTAGGTTTCTTATTGTTTTCAGGTTTTATGAGATTGAGCACAATCCGTTAATTATCTTCACCTTTTTTCATATATGTAAAAAAAAAATAGATGTGTTTGCTTATTAAATAGCAACATATAATATTTGACCGAATAAATGTTCCTGCAACAAGATTATGATTAAAACCTTTAATCATCAAGCTTCTCGATTGAAAAATATACCAGTACTTGTGATATTTTATATAAAAGCCAAGAAAAAATGTCTCGTTTTAATGAAAACCAAAGCAACAAAAATATTGTCGCAAATTTAACAATACACTGTACTAACGTTTCCGTCGAATGGCTCTTAAAAGCTGAATAGACATCTTAAATTCGCAGCTGAGCAAATGTGATACCTTGAGAGCTAACATTGACACCGGAAATTCCTTCCTTGTTCTATGACTAAATGCTTCAGAAGAATTCTTTTTCTTAGCATCCATCTGGGCTTGAAGGGAGCGTCTGGAATCAAAGTTTTCAAAAAATTCATTGATAATTTGTTTTAAATATAATTTTTAAAAATCATTTCATAAAGGTGATGGGATATATAAATGCCGTTTTATTTCACTAAGAAACTCAAGAAGTTCTCTTATTTCATACTAGACACCAACCAAAAAGGCAAACACAAACAACGTGATGTGAACAACATGTGATAAAGACCATCAATGTCTACTAATGATTAGAATCTTATCTCATTCTGTCCTACAAGAAGGATACATTTAAAGTCAGTTTTATCCTAGGATATGCAATAATGGTGAGTGTAGTTAAAATTAATTTCAATCACGCACAGTCATCTTCATTTTTAGCTAAAAAAGCAGACCAAATATATCATAAACAAATCAATAATGGGGTGTCTGCATACTTTTCTTTGATTGAATTAGTCGAGAGGGCCATTCTGTCTCTCACAGCCATGAAGAAAACTTCTTCCCGCGTCGACAGAAAGTAATCCAACATAGCTTGCTGAAAAAATGCAGGAAATTTTTACGTTCAATACGAAAGCATAATACACTGTGTAAACATATTTAATCATTCATTTGATATCTATACGAAATATATACAGTTTGTAAACATATTTAATCATTCGTTTGATATTTATACGAAATATATACAGTCTGTAAACATATTTAATCATTCATTTGATATTTATACGAAACATATACAGTCTGTAAACATATTTAATTTTTCATTTGATATTTATACGAAATATATACAGTCTGTAAACATATTTAATCATTCATTTGATATTTATACGAAATATATACAGTCTGTAAACATATTTAATTTTTCATTTGATATTTATACGAAATATATACAGTCTGCAAACATATTTAATCATTCATTTGATATTTATACGAAATATTTTTTCTCTTTTGGCAAGGCTCTTACCTGTACTGAAGTATTTGCATTGAAGAGCATGATGCAAAGAAAACCCAGAACTTCCTTAGCGAGGTCCTCGCACCTGGTAGCTAAGTGTGGCAGACTCTTCTTCATGGCCCCCTTCCTGTCATATAGGTTCTGTACCCCAGCAATATGTTTCAATATCCTAGTGCAAAACATTTAAACACTCTAGTTTAAAATAAAAGATATAAACATGTGGATTTTGACATTTGATATCATTTCATTTGATATGAACAATACCTTACACGTTGTGAATTGAGATGATTCTGGAGTAATTTTAATGTAAATTAAAACTTAAAACGTAGCTTCTTAAATGAGATACCAAGAAACTGTTTCAGATGTAATCTTTCCGACATACTGTGTATTAAACTGTGGTCGGAGGGAAATGAGTAGTTAAAAAAAAACGTTTTATGGTAAATATTCGAGTAGTGAATTTTCATCAGAACTTTAATTTCTCCTTGTAAATATCGGATTCGTAAATGAAATATATGGAGATAACGAACAGTATTCAAGCTCAAAAGTCCATTAAACATTACAAAATAGAAGCAGAGCAAACACGGACCTCCAAAACATCAGAGGTGGGATCAGGTGCCATGGAGGAGTGAGTATCCCCTGCCGATCGGTCACACCCGCTGTGTGCTCCTTGTCATGATTGGGAAGTAACGGAAAAATCCGTCGACAACTCGGTGTGTAAATAATGGCCTAACAATTAGTATGAAAAACGTCAGTCAGCATTTGATGATAAATTTTATTTGCTGACAAGGACATTGTATCGACCATAGAACTTATGAAATTATGAATTTAAAAGAGACTGCTGTTTTTCTTGTTTCATCAACTTGTTTGTCAATAATTTACCTCCCTTTAGAAATTGTACATACGTAGAGCATGCTCTGGCGTATCGAATCAACTGAGAGATATAAACCCCGTATGCAGGTGATGAAGATATGTTGCTGCATAAGTAAAGGAAGTTGACAATTGAAAAATTAAAGTCATCACGTTTATCATAAAGTTTGGTTGTTAGATTACCATTAACGTCTTTTTCAAGTAAAATATCCAAATATGAAACAGGTGTGTCAGACTCTATGGTATCTTTTATTTCAAGCTCACCGGGATATATCGTATCGGCATAAGAATGGAAATAACCATTGTTAATTGACAATATGTCGTCGATATATCTAAATGTCGAGTTGAAGGCCACAGCAAGTGTTTTCTTCTTTTCATATATAAGATTTTGATTTTCAAAGTTGTAATTTGATAATAATATCAACTTATACCAAATTTTATAAACTTTTCGGGTGAGCAAATTTTAGTGCAGAATTAATGTTTTATATAATTAGATACAAGCAGTATACTTTTTGACGGCCGGTTCCGTTGTCCGTGTAGCCCAGTCCTCGGGCATTCTCCGTTCTTCGTTGTGGATTATCGTTCTTAGAACCTGTAAACACTTGATGTTTAACTCGTCCATTTCCTGCATAGCCTTTTCTGTCATCCTTTTCTGGACGCTTGATATGCTTTCAAAGTCATCAAAAGTACAAATAAATACTGTTTACAGAGAAGAGCTCTATGATTCTTTTCTAAGAAAGTTTAATAATGAATAATAGATAACGTTATTCAGAAAAACTTGAAGCATAGTTGAATTTTGACATTTTGAAGCAGTATGGTATATACAGTTTTCAATGCGGCAAGTAATAATGGAAATTCTACCAAGAATATGACCTCTGAACCTGATATATATAGAGGACTCACTTTAATTGTTCAATTAATACACATGCTCCTTCGTATCGTTTCTCCGGTTTCTTCTCATTGGTGTTTATAAAACGTTTGACCAGACTCTGAAACTCCTCACCAAGTGGAATTTCTTCATTTCCACCGAGGTCAGTATATTCTAGGCATAAGATAAAACGCTTAAATATATATATTATTCTAGGAATATAAAGAAAAGTGTTAATCATTAATGTTTCTGGCAATGTTGACTAATTATAATTTTGGATATCCTTTAAATAAAAAAGTGATACATTTTATGATGATTGTATTCATCGAGGTGAGGAAAAGAAGACATGTATCATTGTAAATCACTATCAGAACAATACCTCTTGTACTTTTTATCTTCAGCTGCGCTGAAACAGTATTGTGACCAGCAAAGACAATGGCGGCGCTTTTAGCAAAAGTTCTAAATTTCCCATTTATTTCAATTTCGTCAGCATAATACTCAATATTTCCCTTAAATAAAAAATCTATATTAGCACACACAGATTCTTTTATGTGGTGATGATGGCACTTTGCAATATCTCATATGGAAGAAATTCTGCAGAATTGTGATAAGCATTGGATGCTTCTTACCCGTCGTACTGCACAAGAAGTGTCTTCCACTGTAACTCCAGAGGAAAAACGATCCAAGACGTGGTCCACGTTCTATGATCACATAAATATTAAATCTTTTACATTGAAAACATGTCATAATAATCATCAAGTTTGAATGTCTTTAAATTCATTACGCATATGTACTTTAGCACACAAAGAAAGATCACTCTCAGCAAAACATGATACTCACCGAGTTTGGCATGTTTGACATCGGGACAATAACAGTCACAACATTTACGATGTTTTTCATATGAGATGGTTTGTATAGAAGAGGGCCCACCGTCTCAGCAAACATCTGTTAATATTTGTACATGAAGACCATGAAATCACTTTCTATTCGCGAGGAATGTATTTCCGAATAATTACGCAACACTGCCAGCTCGATAGATTTCATTATTGCGTGTATTTTTATCATTATAGCGAGCGCAGCGAGCGGCGCGAAGCGAGCTCAATAGACTAACGTGTAAGAACAGAGAAAATTCGGAATGAAATCTGTACATTTCTGGTGAAACATTCCCAGAATTCCTTCGCTACCAGGGTTCCATGCGAAATTCTTACAAAACATTCAAAAGACCAAGGATAATTATTCATTACCGAGAGATACGTTTACTTTTCTTTCTTTGCAGAGGGCTTAAAAGAAATAAAATATAATTACATCCACTCTACAACGTATTTCATTTATTATTGCACAAGATCTCGTTCAAGTCTTGTTCAACCAGACGTTCGGCTGTATCCGTAAATTCCGACGTCATGTGACGTCACAGTCTTGACTGTGTCTCGTGAGGTTTGACGTTTGAAGAGGCGGATCCATCAACGTTAGAAGTGTAAGCTGTGTATAGGTTTTTGATGGTACAACTGCGCTCGCCCCTACGGTCACACCGTAAAACATATTAGCGAGCGGCGCGAACCGAGCTCAATAGACTAACGTGTAAGAACAGAGAAAATTCGGAATGAAATCTGTACATACATCAGGCAAATTTTCTGGTGCAACATTCCCAGAATTCATTCGCTACCAGGGTTCCATGCGAAATTCTTACAAAACATAAAAAAGACCAAGGATAAGCATTCATTACCTAGAGATACGTTTACTTTTCTTTCTTTGCAGAGAGCTTAAAAGAAACAAAAAATAATTACATCTACTCTACAACGTATTTCATTTATTATTGCACAAGATCTTTAGTCTCGTTCAACCAGACGCTCGCCTGTCTCCGTAAATTCCGACGTCATTCGACGTCACAGTCTAGACTGTGTCTCGTGCGGTTTGACGTTTGAAGAGGCGGATCAACAAGTGTAAGTTGCTAAAGCTTTTTGATGGTACAACTGCGCTCGCCCCAGCGGTCACACCGTAAAACATATTAGATTATATACAATAACCAGATTTCGGGATTTTTTCCCTCGCTTATAAATATCAAATATGCTTCTCGCGAAAATAAAGTGTCACTAAAATTTGATGATCTACTGTACCAAAAATCACCGCTTGTTTCTTTTTTTCAATTTGAAATTGTTACGTACAACGACAGCTTTTGCAATGTGGTCAGTTTCATCGATTTCATTTCCATGTGCGGCTTGGTCTGGAAAATAAAAATCTCTATAGAAGGCTTCAAGGAACGGGAGTACTGCCTCCAGGAAGTAAAGGACGGATCCATATGCACCGGACTCAAAATCAGGGGCACTTGCAGCTCCACTATGATGAAAACATATTGATTTATACCAAAGATTTCCTGATCACTGGCATTTGAGACTGCTTTAATTTTCTGACTATTCAAGATGAGAAAGGAATACCTTTTCTCTGGTGCTGTTTTGAGAGTTATCGCGATTTTGTCTGGATCTTCTTTAATACTGTCTGTAAGTCTATTCATCTCTATTGACAAATTCGACAAATAGTCCCACAAATCCCTAGGATCAGAAAACAATATCATCACATGAGACTAAATCAGTCTATGTTTCTGAAGCTGATAAGGTGTAGTACAAGATATTTGAATATGTATACAATATCTTTTTCTTGATTTTATTTTACAATTATCCCAATCACTTTTGTTCAAACACATGCTTGTGAAAAACCACACTTTAATCTTACATTTATTCTGTGAATGCACATCATAAACATGTAAATATTTAAACACGGACATTTTTTTAATACAAGGTTTTATTTATCTACTTTGTTGTTAATAAATGTACTCAACAATAATAATAAACCCTTATATCTACTGAAAAACAAAGACAAAAGTCAGTTCCAGAAACAAAACACGTTAGTCAACTTAGATATCTTCAAATAAAATAAAAAAGAAATAGAGACATCATGCCATATGCAAAACATGTCAGTATTACTTCAACAACTACTATAATTGATAGAAAACATAATAAAATTTTAAAAATCCTAATTTTCTTATTTTGTCAATTTTGAGATTAAAATCGACTTTATTGGTTTAAAGATTGATTGGTTGATTTTGAATATGATATTGTATTTCAATGGTTACTATAGTTGTTTTACATGCTATACTCTCAGCATAACCAATGTGAATGTATAAATTATTAGACTTGCTAACCTATACTATTTAGCAAAAACACCGACAACCAGGCCAGCATACCACACGATAATTCTTTAATCACAACAAACTAGCATACTCCAAAACCACGGGAAAAATCATGAAAGAAAAAAATCATTCAATGAAGTACTTTTTTTCCCTATTTCTTCTTTCGCTTAAAATTTATAGAGAGAAGAATTGCATGCAAAATTACTGTCAATGTTATGTAGTCGGAAAATAGCTGTAGCCGGAAAACTCCTTTTAAAAGTTAATAATTGTTTACAAAAGCCGACTTTAAATAAAGAGTATCTAATAACGCTTGATATTTCTCTGAATAAGGTCAGCATTCCATTATAATTTCGACGAGAAATTAGATTCTGCAGTTTACTTCAATTCTTGATCATTTTCATAATGCGTTATTCAGTAGAGGAAAAGGGATATCTGCTTTAAGAGCAATATTTCTTAAAAGAAAGTGTAAAATTTCATATAAATTACTGAGGACCAAAATACATTTTATATCAAAATACATTCACAAAACGTTAAAGATATCACTTCCACAATAAGATTAGGAGCAAAATTAGGTACGTGCATTACCAACTCAGTGAGTATGTAAATCCACGAGGCAGCGACTGTCTACCAATAAATGTAATCAATCCTTAATCAATATCACAAACTTTATATTTGTTGAGAACAAGGAAACAAACAGGAAGTTGTTAGTAATTGCAGAAATACAGAGTATTAGTGAACAGTATTAGATGTACGTGTCATCAAAAGCTTTTGAAAAAGTGTTGGTATAGTTCTTGGGTAAAGCATTACGGACAGAAAGAGAGAAAACAACATGAACATTACATACTGTATATTTAAAACAAACACCATCATTGCTGAATTAAGTTTTGGTTCATATAATTTAGAATCTGAGATTAAATTGTTTCATGTTCTTCTTTCTGGTGCAGAACTACATACATATAGACTCCTACATAAAGGTTATGTAGTGTAAACCAATTTTGGACCTACTCTTGATGTGGCATTTCTCCGGCGCTGGTCTCCACCCCACTAGATCCGTTCTTCAGGTACACGTGGTGTAAGCAGGTCAGGAAAGGTTTCTTGTATACGTTATCTACATTTGGGTTGTTCAACACCCACAGTAAATCGTCCATCGGCAAAATAGTTTGGCAGAGGGACTCAATGAACATATTTTCACCCTTTACAAGAAAATGAATGGTGTTAAAATTTTATTTCTGTTTATCTGAAGTTTTTATTGATTAATATGTTCTTTTAAATAAAGCTTATTTTCCTTGACATGGACAATAATCTAATGAGAAGGGATTTTACAGACCTCTGCACAAAGGGAGAGTAACTCCAGTAAGCTCAGGTAATACCGGAGGCTGGAGAGACGGCGGGCGTTCGTCAAAATGGATTCTCTTCAAAAATATAATAACATACGAAAAATGACTGTATGAAGGTTGCTTCATTGATCGCTCGAAATGGTAGACAAACCCAAAGAAAAGGAAATGAAACTTTATTTTCAAAAACAATTATCAACACATATATTATCAACACATAGATTACTAGAAATTTCATACATGTAAGCATTCCTTTTGAAGAAAGGTCGGGGGTTTTTTGTATTATTTTTTTTTTTTAAAAAGATTGGTTTTTCTTTAAGTTGTATTTGATTTCTACAATTCAAATTAATGATCCAATTTGTAAAACTCTTGATAACCAATCAGTCGCTGTGGCTTAATTTTCCTTAGAACTTGTAAAAATATTAAGTGTAATACTAGTAAATTACTCGCTGTGGCTTACTTTTCCTTAGAATTTAAATAAATATTAATTATAATGCTAGTAATTTTCTCGCTGTGGCTTACTTTTCCATAGAACTTATAAAAAATATTAATTGTAATACTAGTAAACTATTCGCTGTGGCTTACTTTTCTTCCAGAGAAAGGTCTAGAACATAGGCCACTTTCTTGTAATTCTGCATGATGTACTTCATCACATAAGCTTGGTTCCTTTTCAGTGTCAGATCAGTCCCAGTGACCTTGACAATCATGCCAAGAAGGTCAAGAAACTCTGGAGCACGGTCCTGCATCTCAGCTGCTCTAAATACTATCTTCTGAATCTGACGCGGGCTGACTTTTAAGCATGTGTTTGGATTCCCCATAAACACCTGCAAAAAGATTCAACACCGTCTTTCTATGGGACTTTTATGCTATTCCAACTTCATATATTTTAATTGTTCAACATGATTTTTTTAGTGTGATACATGTTATTCAAATAAAATTCCACCTCACCTCCTTTAAAGCAATAGCTAAATCTGATTCAACAATGCGAACATCCAGAAGGACGTCAATTCTGTCAAACAGATGAAGCTGAACTCTTTCGTTTTCACGCGCAAGGAGCTTCAGTAAATGCAATGTTTTCTTGAAGATATCTTGCATTCCACCATACTGGGGCTAAAATAACAGAAAAGCTTCACTAAAAAGGGAATTTTTGACTTATAAAGATTATTGGTTCAACCGACTCTCTGCTAAGTGATACTTACCAATAGTTTTGAGTCAATGTCTTGTGTCAGAATATCAAACAGAATATTAAGTAACCCTAAAATAGAAAATGTAGTTTTGTAAATAAGAAAGATAAATTTATTTTAATAAATGCTTTTAAAATGATTTAGAAAATATAAGGGCCCTAAAATCTTGAGAAATGTAATGAAATAATATAATATTTTTTGTTGTATTTTACCGTTACTGATCAGAATGTTTTGATTCATCGGATGAGGTTCATCTGGAGTCATTGGTAAATGACAGAATCTGAAAAGAAATACCGCGTTAAAATGTAGTCAGAATTGACACAATACTTCCCGATATCCAGGATAGATCGAAGGATTTTCAGATTTCATAAAACATAATTACAATTCCAAAAGTACACAGTAAAATGTTGGATATTACAGAAAACCAGTAACCTACTCTGCCAAATCATCCAGAATATCGCCCATGAGTTTAACCTGTTGCTCGTCTAATTTGGCACGAGCCAGACGACGTAGGATTGGCATACTCTTCAGAACCTCTCGGTGAACTCGTGCCGAGTCTTGAGTCAGCAAAATCTTAATAATAAATGTTACGGGTTACAATGTATTTATAATATGCAATATTTAAATTATAATAAGCACTGTATCCTCTGGTAGCTAGATTTCTTTTCAGGTTTCCCATAGTTACATTCCTCACTGTTCCTGATCTCATGATAAGCTTTAATATACCTTAGTTAGAAGTTAAATTTTGAATGTTTGAAACATGTAAAGGTTTACCTGTGCCTTGCTTGATAATTTGAACATGTTGGTTTTTGATGAATACAGTTTGTTGAGTATGTTCAAAGATTTAGTAATCATTTTGTTATATTTGTAACTTGACAGATCCTGCAAAAGTAAATTTGACATTTAAATCTATATTTTGTATACACATGGTTGTGAAAAATATACCAAGATACTGAAAAGTATAGTTTAATATTACAAGTAATTTAAATCTTATGCCAATTAAAAAAAGAATATATATATGAAAGTAAATAAAATAGCAAATTTCGTACAAACAGAAAGTCATATAAATGATAAATTATCTTACTAAAAGAATTTTGGTCAGTAAATCCATGTCAAATATGGCAGACTCATTGAACATGTTTCGAAGTTCTTTGTTGATTTTTCTCTGAGTTTTCAGGGCACGTCTAAAGATCATATTATATTCACAATTATTACAAATACAGCAAGTAGAAAAAATGATCGGTTCAAATATTATTTTAGATTTGTATTTAAGTACACCATACATACTTAGACTGACTATGGGGATCAAAGTCATCAAATAGCATTGGTAATAGTACATCTGTCCTGTGTTCCTCGCAGCAGGTTTCTGATATTTTGAACTTGTTAACAAAGCTCTGAAATTTCCAAAGTCTATATTTTAAAATGTGCTCTGCAATGAATGTATAAAATTATATTACTTATAGCAATGAATCAAGTCACTAAATCTAGTAGGATTTACATTGATGTATACCTGTAAACGTGAATTCCTCTGATAAGTCAACAATAGATCCAACACCTCCAGAACTCTGTCATAGTAAAATAATGTGTATAACAGTAGTGCAATAATAAACCCATATTATAAAGGGTTTTATTGTAGTGAGATATTGTATTGTAATAAGATACTGCATGCCTTAACAAAAATTTACTATAGTTAACTATAGTTTTCTATAGTTAACTATAGTAAATACTTTGATACTTTGATTTACTATGAAACTTTACTCTAGATTTTTTTTGAAGATTTAGAGCCTAAATATTTCTTAAATTACATGCCAAAGATGTAATTGTTTGAAAAAAAAATATGTAAATATACAAGAAAAAGTTCTTTTTAAAATCAGAAACTTACTTGTAGGAATTTAAAAAAAATAAAAAATATCTATCTGAAATTCATATATAGTAAACTATAGTTAACTATAGTAGTTTTTTGTTAGGGCACGCACTTACTGAAACTTGGCATTAACAATGGCTTCTGTCTCGGGATTCTGGTTGTATCGCTCCTGACTCTGATATTTGTTGACTTCTTTAACTGCTTCCTTTGAATATCCTGGAGAACGACACAATAAGCCAAAATATAACCAGTAGTCCTTATCTGAGATACGAACACCAAGTTTCATATTAAGTCAGAACAAAAAATTTACGTTCATTATTTTACCTTTGTCCTTGTCTTTAGGAAAAGGGTAGTCTTTGCGTCCGTCGAGGAGTTGGAGCAGCGGTGGTAGAAGGTTCTGAACGTCTTCGCTGTCTAGGTAGTATCCAAACTTGACAAGATGGTAAAGCAGTCTGACTACCTACAACATGGTATTAAAGAAGGGCTTAAAATCAATCTTATAAACAACGAAAGCAAGAAGGACCCATCCATACAGTGGATAAATCATCATTGATTAGGCAGAAAACATTGTATGAAGATGGGGTTTCAAATGCGTCCAACGAATAATGTAAAACGTAAAGCTTTAATTACTGGAAAGCATAAATTTGTTTGTTAAATATACACAGAATTTGTAATCAAGATCGATATTTAGTTGTCAAAAAAGGAATCAAATCAACAACCTTTTTTTATGCAGAGTGCCTGAGTACGGATATATTAAAACCAACACTTCAAATTCAGTTTTATTACTCATTATGATGAGTTGTTATAATTATATAACTATATATAATTACCTAGTTATCAGTTTTTACAGGATTTTTCAAAATTAAATGTACCTGTTCTATTAACATATTATGGCCAATCTCGCTTGCAATCATGAATTTATTATCCAAGAGAAACTCGGCAATCCAGTCACGAAGCACAGGAAAGATTGCAACCAACTCTTTTACAACCTTAAAAGGATAATTTTTAAAATAAGTTTAATAATCCACTAAAACAGAACCTTCATGACCACAAGGAAATAGTAATGAATACTTACAAAGTCTCCCTGGCTTTTTTCCTCGTCTTTTGAGCCAACATATTCGTACACAAAGCAGATGTTAGGATGATCTAACACCGAGTAGTTGTTCCCAACGTCAACAAACAAGCCTTTAAAACGGAAAAGGAATGAAGCATTAAAACTGATATGAAGGTAAGTAATAAATTATGTGATTACAATTTAATTTCAAACGTACTTGTGGTAAGGTCACAATATTTAGCCCGAATTGCTTCTGGTAAAATGTCTGACCGCAGAGACAAGAAGGCTTCCTCCCATGTAAGGTACCGCAACTCTTTGGTAATCATGTTGATTGAGTAGTCGTTTCTTCCCTTAAGAATATGAAAGCTCATTGAAAAAAATTTGCAGCTTGGAAATTTGAAAACATATTTCGTACATACGATATTTAATAGCAATTCAACTTTATTATTTCAAGAAGCAATGGGAAGCAATGGAATACACACATAACAAAGTGCCTTGTAGAGGTTCAGTTGGTGGATCAGGAAATCATGCTTGTCCTTGTCATAACATTCACAATCCGACTTAAAAGATAAATATATATAGTGTATAATATTCAATGCATTTTTCTTGTATGATTACACACATAACACCAAAGGTAGTCTAGCTTACGTACGTTTACAAACTCGTGTAGTGCCGTCCAAGATCTGCCGTGATCGGTTGTGATGTACAAAATATTTGGTTGCCTGTTGATATCCTGTCCACGAGCCGTGAGAAAGATTCCTTTGCCCTTCAAGATGCCAAGATTTTTTTAGATTCATATCAAATTGCATTTCATCTCTTTTGTGCATTAAACACAGGCTAAAACTTTGAAATGTGGCAACATTGTACATATGTATATCATTATTTTTTCAGGAAAAACGGTTTATAAACTTGGAAACACTGAACACACCTGTAAAATAAGATGAATATTTTCCTTAGAAACAGAATTTCAAAATACCCAGAAGTTGTCGTAAGCAATGGCTGACACAGTTATTAATGAAATGCATCAATTCATTTCAAAACATAGAAATACCTGTTCAACTTGCATCCATCTTTTGACAATGTATGACTGGTTGTTTGGGATCGCGATATCATCGCAAACACACAACACGTGGAGTAAGTCCAAAAACCTATAGTTCTGTAATGACAGGAGGATAATGACCACATCAGTAACACGTAAATATGCTCGTATTCTAACATTCTGTATGAAGACAAAATTTTAGAACCTGTGTTTTTTGTAGGAGGCCTATGAACTCATCTATTTGCTCGTGAGTAATTCTGTCCACGATTTTTCGTTTGTCGCGGATCAGCTCGACTATCATCTGGGCAACATTCAATCCTATCCCACCCTACAGGCAAAAATCAAATAAAATCAGGTATTTGTTTGATGTTGAAAACTTGTTTAAATTCAGAATGCAAATTTTTAATGTGTACCTTTTGTGTAAACTGAGTTTGAAAGAACTCGATGTACTTCGCAAAGTAAAGCGCATTCTTTCTGCTTTTTCCAATCATGTAGGTATAAAGAATTTCGTATGCCTCTTTAAATACTTGAATGAGGTTCATTTCATCGACAGCACCATCTAGCGGACATTGTAGGATTTTCACAAGCAAATCAATCACCTATAAATAAACTTCTTACAAAAACAATGTCAACCTTTATCAATATGTAGGATCATGCAAGCAAAAAGTAAAAAAAAACAATTCTTTTCAAAACTCAACTGAGCGAATTTGCCCTACATGTACAAAATTTCCATATTAAACCTTACTATTGCAAAAAAAATAACAACCATTGTGCAACTTGATCGAAAAGACTGTAATCTGAACAAGTAAAATGATCTCTGAAGTGTTAACATTTTATGACCAATCAGTTCCGACAAAATTGCAAATAAGTCAAAGAAATGGAAGAGTAAACAACGCAGAAAAAGTTGACATTTTTTATTTTGGTAATTAAGTATATATATTTATTAATAGTTTAATCTATCTCACCCTCAAGTTTCTCATCAACTTTTGTCTGTTCTTGCTGGGAACATCTTTTATCATCATAAACTTTCTGAGATCTGTCATTGCCTGCAATGTATAAGGTATACTCTCCATCTCTATTCAAATTTAAAGTATTAATACAATATTAATACAATAAATCAATTAAGAGTTTAGGATATACTGAACAAGTGGACAATTTGCTGCTTACCGTTAGGACGATATGTGTTTTCTTCGCATTTAGAACAATATTCGCCTCTCTCTATGCAAGCATATTATACAAATTAATGAGGAAGTAGAAAATATCTGTAAGACAATAAGAACTTAATATTCTTTTAGACAAAAAACCAATCTTTCATCAAAGAGAACTTACGTCTTTGGTTAGATTGAGTAGAAAAGGTACCATTCCTGCCACGTAATTGAATTCATCCACCTGGCACTTCTCCACCCTTTGTATAGTAAAGGCGTCATCATATTGACTCTCTCCACTTGCTGCCACCTAAAATAACCAAGCTGTCATTGTAGAAGACAGATAGGATTGACACAGATTATTTTCCAATTAATGTTTGAGTTTCGTTGTTGTACCTTTCTAACTTGTGCCGAGTCCCACATCAGGCCACGAAGAGTTTGGTCGTTACCTGCTTCCATCTCTCTGAATTTTCTTCTTATATAATCTTCGTCTATTTAAAAAGTACTCTTTCTATAATCTCTTTATTTTTCAAATGTTTTCAATTCAAAATCAGTGTAAATTTATTTTGTTAAGCCATGAAGACAAGAAATGGTACCTTTCAGTGCATGAAGCCAAAATCCAGAAAGCACATGTTCAATTCTGCAATAGCTTTCAAAATGAATTTCGTCTCTCTCCTAAAAATTATTCACAATATTTTTATAAAGATTCAATAGAATAGACTACTTCAACTAAATTTGTTTTTAATTTGTATATTTTTTATGCTCGTACAATCAGACCGGAGAATGGATACTGTAAGCTGTGTATTTTTTATGCTCGTACAATAAGACCTGAGTAGGGATACTGTGATTTATTAACATTGATGATGTATTTGTTTTATGATCTTACACTAAGAACAGAGTAGAGACGGAACACGGTTCGTGGGTCTTCGTTGTCGTCCGTGAGTGATATCTCTGTGGTTCCATCAATACAGAGATACTTTCTAGTGGTCATGTGTCTCAAACGAACCTGCTGCTCCCATCGGAGTACATCACCTAAATCACCACTATCAATTTGTATTTTACATCAAACATATTATGACAAGAAACAAAAAAATATATAAAAACACTTATTTACTGTTAAACTTTCCAGGGGTTGAGGGAAAAGTACTGCTTCGTGGGGATTTCATTTTGAGGTTGAAAAAATTCAATTATAATGATGCTGTAATTTGAAATTTTAACATTTCACGGAAAACATAAATTTCTACCATCATAAAATTAATTTACTGGAAATCTGGTTTATACTTCATTAAATATATTAAAAGGGAATTCAGTAAAAAAAAAAAGGAATTTAAAGAATCTCTAAAATTATCTTGGATAAACACTCTTATACTTAATCATAACATTTATGTTAAAAGAGAGGAACTCTAATCTTGTACCATTTAAGATACCACTTTCTGCTTCAATTTGCCAAAATGTGTTCCCAGAAGTGGGAGGTGACAGTGTCCTAGGCTTGTGTTGATCCATGACACGAATCCTAAAATGCACTGTGAAATAAAAGGTTTCATCAAATGTTTTTTTTTTTTTTTTTTAAAAAAAGGGTAAAGGTGGTCAATTTAACAATCGATGCCTTTAATCAATACATTGTGTCTTTTTTCTCCATTACACAGGTCTGTTTTACACATCCATTAGTAATTAATTAGTACCATCCTCGGTGACTTCATCATCAAACAGTCCCTCCGCGACCATATATGCTTCCAGTTCTTTGTGAAACAGCCGAACTACGCTTCCGCCCTTCAATATAGGCCATATCAATCCATTAGCATTTATCATGAACAAGATTGCAGAGGAAAGTGAACAATTGGCTATATCAATATTTTAACCAGCGTTCTAAATTCTCTCTAAACATAAATGATTAGTTTATTGTGCTTGATACTAGTATTTAGGATGTAAAGAATATTATAATTGAGTTAAATGATAAACATTATAAAGTAATTTTGTAATGGACATTCCTTTTATTGGAAATCCATACCCGGACGTATTGATCGTGTTCAGAAATTCCTTTGTGGTATCGAACAAGTGAGAATCCTGATCTTTCTACTCCCAGGTTCACTTCCGATCTGTACAAAAAACAAAGTCATTCTGAAATCCCATATTGGCCAAGTACTAAAAAGGAAATGCTTTATTTCAAAGTCAAAATATGCCTCAACTTTATACAATGAATATTCCATTATTGGAAAGTCTTTTTCCTATTTTTAACGATGCTTTGTTTTGCTTTATCTTATTCACGAAAACTAAGTAGAAAGATTAATTCGGTATAACCCTTACCCATACGTGGAATGGTAGATACATGTAGATTAATACGGTATAATTGCCCGCGTGGCGCAGTGGTTAGAGCTTCTGCTCTAGAGACGCGGAGTAAGGAGTTGATTCTTACGGGTTCGAATCTCACTGTGGGAGTGGAGACAGGTCATTCGGATGAGACCGTATAAATCGAGGTCCCGTGTCGCAGTAGATGTTGGCACGAAAAAGATCCCTCACTGCTCAATGTCAATGGCCCTCAGTGCCGAGTATAGGTCAAAATTTGCAGCTCTCCACTGGCAAGTGGTGGCGTCTCCAGACGAGTGAAAAATTCTCGAGAAGGACGTTAAACAACACACAAACAAACAAATAACTCTTACCCATATGTGGAATGGTCTATTTGATAAGGAGAACTGGCGTGAAAGAAATGTCCTGGAGATTTGATGCTCTCGAAGACAATTTGATCATAGATCTGAACCTGATAAAGGATGAAGACAAAATGTTTCCAACTGTAATCTCGGAGAGAATGAAAGATACTCATTTGGAGGAATGTTTAAAGGTAAGGTTAAATTTGTTTGACATACCACTTCACCTTCCGATTTGACTTTGTATTGAGGCAAGATTCGGAATTGTGCATTCTTTGCATTGAATTCATTTAACATCACCTTGAAATAAATGAATATAGTTTAAGTAAACACGTCTTTGATAGCACATTTCATATTCTTTAAGTGGCACTTTTGCTAAACCTCATATTAAGAAAATGTTCTCAAGTTGACCTTGCCAATTCTGCTAACAAAGCTAATAATTTACCTTTGAGGTCAAAAGTCAAGATAAAGTAATAAAGACAAATCACCTTTCACGATATATTTATTGCCAAATATCAAATTCATTAGAAAAATTACGAAAATGTGTTTTCCTTGTTTTTATGGCTTCTGTTCTTAATTAAACACATATTATACCACAGTTGTTCATTATTTGAGTTAACATGGCCATTTCAGGTTTGTTACATGATTAAATGGAACCACCAAGGACCAAAAAGGTCTTAAGGCTATGCTGAAAGATAAACAATCTGATCCGCACATGCTTTCTTTTCAAGAAGTCAAATATGTGGAGTGCAAGAAGAAATTGGTATAAAATGAAACATCACTATTAGTCTAGAGAGGAGAGTAATAAAATATCTCAGAACCCAATGAATTTTTATACTGTTATTTTAAAATTCGCAGAATTTTCATCATAATTATGTTTCAATGAATGGGATTACTATTTTTGGAAACACGGTAGTTATTTGATATTTTATGGGTTTTAAAAACAAATAAAAAAAATATCAATTAAATGAAACTTAATACGATTATTCACAAAGACGTATGACAATATCATTGTCCAAAAAACTGGGCAGTATGGTTAATTCATAAGTGTATCATTATAACACTATACCCATGTGTTAATTTTTAAAAAGAGATACTACAATTAGGAAATTAAATATTGATTGTTTGGCTTTGATACAGAATTTTTATACATTTATACAAAAACGACAGCACATTCATCATAACCCCGATTTCTATTTAACATCCAAGTTATGATCAATGCTGTCGATATTTATTCGGAGTAGCTCATTGTTAGAGATCCTGTTTTAGAATCTCTTGTGTCTCTATATTAATACATCGCTAACAAGGGAAACAGAATATGTAGAGTGAAAAAAAAAAACATGTCAGTAATTACACAGGGAGATTCCTCGTGGGACCTAATCATAAGTCATCGAAACAACCCGGATACCGTGTTCAAAGAGCATGGTGTTCTAGTTGCTTTTTTGAAAACGTTTCCATATATTTTCATTAAAGGAGATCATATTTATTTCTACATTCTCCACCTCTGTTTATTTGTAAATGTAGAATTGAGTTTTTTTTTCCACTGGACTAATTGTCTGTGTTCAACTTATTCTATTATTCATTGAATCTCTCCTTCAAACAACATTGACAACTGTGTCCTTTGAGAATCTAACTCACAATTAAAAAAAAAAGTTAAATTTTAACACAGTTCGTTTTGTAATTGATATTGTTAAACCTACCATCATGTTGTTTTTGTCCTGTTGACTCGTCTGGGAGGTACACATATGTACATACTTATTGGTAAAAACATGCTTCAACTAAAATATTTAAAAATCATTTCAAAATAGTAAGAAATGAATATTACAAGTAATATACATTCATATCTTGAAAAGTTTAAGTCTTTACATTCATATACCTTTCTATTTCTTATTTTATCTATTCATTCATATTTTGAAATATCATTCCTGAAATGATGTGTTTCTTTTAATAAAGATATCATTATGTTCTTCATTTTCTTATTTTTATTTTTAATACCTGCACTATTTCGCCATAGCGGACTCTTTTGTTCATCTGACGCTTTTGTTCAGCTGCGTTATCGGCATTTTCTGCTTCTGCTGCATGCTAAAAGAAATGTATAAAAACACCCCAAAAAGTCAAAAATAGATATCAAAATGATAAAGGAAAGAGGATTTTTAATGCAGTTTTACAGTTGTTTAATCTGTAATGAATTCGACCAGGTGGTAAAGTTAAATCAATTTTTATTCTGTTTTGCAAGTCGATAAAAAGAAATGCAAAGTACCTTTGCTTGAGCTAAAAGAACCTTGTCTTGCTCTTTGACGCACGTTGTCAAATCTGTTGTTGATGACGTCATTTCGGCACTTTGGTTGGCCAACAACTTCCGAAGTTTTTTGCTTAGCTTGTACCGGTTTTGAATGCATATTTCAAATACCACAGCTGTGTAAAAGGAAACACTTCTGGTCAGTGCCAAATAGCATTAAAACAACAGAGTTTGCTTTTCTGTACGTATTTGTTTTAAGTTGCTTTTACCTTGTGTGTTTGGAATCTTGGAGGGCTTCTCTCGGTCTTGGTTTATGTAAATATGTAGACCATTGTGCACAGAACTGTAAAATATCTTGATGTATTATTTACCATACTAGTATTTTATCATTAATCAATTTTTTTTTCAAATTAAGACTTAATGTCCCTTTTACATTACATTATTCGAAAATTACATAATAAAGATATATCTTCATTTTAAAAAATCTCACTTTGATTTCGTACATTATTAGCTATAAAATAAATAGAAGCTGTCCAAAACGATCTCCAGCGGTATTTAGATCAAGGACAATCAAAAGAACCCTATCGCAGATAATCACTTAATATCTTAATATGAGTGGAGACCAATCAAATATTTGAGAAGCGTAGGCTGATATTTTAGATGACTGGCAAGCCCAAGACAATTGTTTCGACAGTGATAAATAAAATCACAACTATACGTTCCTCATTGTGAATTTGCTGAGTGCTGCTTTGCATTAAATTGTGTCCCAACATTTATGTCTCTGATCTCATAGTTTAGAATTCGAAAAGATATGCACAAGTTTATCTTTAGTATTTACATCCAACAAACCCAATTTACCTTCTGGGTCGTCTGGGCCTGATCACATCTCTTTCCATCAGAGGAATTCGAGCGCGTGCGACGCGACACACTATTTTTTTTTTATTACACAGGTTTCTGTAATTTTTCATATTTTACGTTTTAATGTAGTAAAGAAATTTCTTATACATTTACTACATGATGTATAAGTAAAATATTGCAGTAAATACACATGAAGCTTTTCATTGAGACAAAAAGTTTCATCTATGATAAAATATTTCGGGGAAAATTAATTCGTACCTGATAGCAAAGGAGGTAAGTATTTGTCCGTGAGGTATACTTTTATGTACATTTCATTGCTACTATTTTTTTAAAGGTGTGAAAGAAATCAAGTCTAATGTAAAAGGTGAAGATAACGAACAGTGAACAAAACGAAAATGAACAGGGCATAAAAGACGGACCTCTGGTAATTCCAGAGCCTAGGGGGAGCAAACATCCTTTGTCGATCGGTCACACCCGCCGCAAACCCTATTTATTGATCAGGTCAATGAAGTAAACTGTGGTCACAATAATCAGGTGCCGAGGAGGAGTAAACATCCCTTGCGACTCGTCACACCCGCCGTAAGCTCTATGTATTGATCAGGTAGACGTAGTAATCCGTAGTCGAATTTAGTACAAAACAATGGCCGCCTAATAATTGGTTTGACATACGTCAGTCAAAATACTACCCAATGATAGTTGTATTTGCTAATAAGGTCATTATAACACCATAGAATTTACGAAATGCTGACTTTAAACGAAGTTGTTGTTGAAATCCCTATAACATCAACTTAATCAAAAAATCAAAACGTGATTAAAGAAAAATATTATTTAAATTCAGTATTTTGTTTTTAAAGTTATTTTAGCCTAATTAATTTTGCTTTCTGCAAGTCGTGGTGTTCTATACCGCCTTGTAATTTTTGAGACATATTAATAATTCTGGTATTAATAAGTGCAATAAAATACCGTACAAAGAATTTTATGTTAAAATTTTGATATATTTTTTTTCTGTTCAAGAGTGATACATACAAAATTTTAAGACTGTATTTTCTAAACAGAAATGAACTAAGTTGCCCTTTTCGGGCGGCCGGTTGACGATAAAAACTGCATTCTATGTACTGAAAATTATCTACATAAAACTGATTTAAAACAAATGAAGAGAAAGCAAAATATTGATAAAGCCATAAAAGATAGCCTTGTCTAGATAAAAACAATAATCTAATAAACGCAACCGTGAGGATAAGCCAGTACTTTGGGAATCATTCAGTAAAAGGGCTTGAATAAATGATGGTCTTATGCAATATAATGACCACATCTAAGTGCATGTTTCTTAAAGTACTACAATAATGTTTACTGCAAGACCAGTTTATCATTCCGGTACATATTATATCAGTGAAGAACCTAATAACTTATCTAAATTTATATTTTTTTTCTCTTGTTTTAAGTAAAGAGAATAATGTACGAATCAATCAAATCGCTATATTTTTTTCTAAAAAAAAAAATTCCAAAATCATTAAAGAAACATCAACATGAAAAGTACATGCATTTGAGGGTTGTCAAAAAATTCCGTAGAGAGAGCTCATGAATATCTTTTACAGAAATTTACGAATCTTTATATAATTTTTCTTCGCTTATAAAGTATATTGTTGATTGATAAATTACGATGATCACTTGAAAACAATACAAGTAATAAAAACAACATTATATTATGAATTTTTATTACTGAGTAGTAAATACTTTTTTTAAAAACCCTTCACTCTTGTATAACGGCGGCATTTGCTTGTAACTTTGAATAAGATCGTCATTCTTACTTGTTTAATACACTGCAAATGATCATTTCTTTAATGACTAAACAAATCAGATAGAATCACTTGTTAATGTTTGAAATCTCATTACAATCGCTTTAGTACTTATAGAAAGTCTTTGGGATAAAACAGATAAAAAAGTTTGAGATAAAAAATGACATACAAAAAAAAACACAAAATTTTAATTTTAAGTGTCCAAAGTATCAAAGTATGCGAGTATTTCTAACTTGTTTAGCTCGATCAGTTTTCAAGTCGGGGCAGGCTACGGACAAAATGATTGATATTACAGGGCTTTCTCGTTTTAAGCCGACACATAACAAATTTTACGTTCGTTGTAGGCTTTTTGATATCATTGAATGCTGCTTTTTCAATAAAAATGGAACTCGTTAATTTATTTACCTTGTCACTGGTCATTTGCAAAATTATTTTGTTAAACAAGATGTGTTTGTGAAACACTGATGCCTCCGTATGGCAGCTTATGGCGAAGGTTAAACTTTCTTCAAATGCAACTCAAAATCCAGGCCAAAAGATAAAAAATGTTGATACCCAAAGAAAGGTCTGGTCTCAAGGAATACACCTATGAAATTTGAAAGACCTAGATACAACTGTTCAAAAGTTATGGCGAAGGTTAAAGTTTTTTAAATAAAAGTCAAAAGTCAAGGTCAAGGTCAAAGTGGTTGGTATCGAAAGGAAGATCTTGTCACAAGGATTACATATGTGAAGTATGAAAGCCCTAGCTCCAACCATTCAAAAGTTATGGCCAAGGTTAAAGTTTTTCAAAAGTAGGTCAAACTCCTAGGTCAAGGTCAAAGGGTCAAAGTGGTTGGTATCCAGAGGAAGGTCTTGTCACAAGGATTACATATGTGAATTATGAAAGCCCTAGCATCAACCATTCAAAAGTTATGGCCAATGTTAAAGTTTTTCAAACGTAGGTCAAACTCCTAGGTCAAGGTCAAAAGGTCAAAGTGGTGGTTGGTATCCAAAGGAAGGTCTTGTCGCAAGGATTACATATGTGAAGTATGAAAGCCCTAGCTCCAACCATTCAAAAGTTATGGCCAAGGATAAAGTTTTTCAAAAGTAGGTCAAACTCCTAGGTCAAGGTCAAAGGGTCAAAGTGGTTGGTATCCAGAGGAAGGTCTTGTCACAAGGATTACATATGTGAAGCATAAAAGCCCTAGCTCCAACCATTCAAAAGTTATGGCCAAGGTTAAGTTTTTCAAAAGTAGGTCAAACTCCTAGGTCAAGATCAAAGGGTCAAAGTGGTTGGTATCCAAAGAAAGGTCTTGTCACAAGGATTACATATGTGAATTATGAAAGCCCTAGCATCAACCATTCAAAAGTTATGGCCAAGGTTAAAGTTTTTCAAAAGTAGGTCAAACTTTTAGGTCAAGGTCAAAAGGTCAAAGTGGTGGTTTGTATCCAAAGGAAGGTCTTGTCGTAAGGATTACATATGTGAAGTATGAAAGCCCTAGCTCCAACCATTCAAAAGTTATGACCATGGTTAAAGTTTTTCAAAAGTAGGTCAAACTCCTAGGTCAAGGTCAAAGGGTCAAAGTGGTTGATATCCAAAGGAAAGTCTTATCACGAGAAATATACATGTGAAGTTTGAAACCCTAAGCACCAACTGTTCAAAAGTTATGGCCAAGGTTAAAGTTTTTCAAAAGTAGGTTAGACTCCAAGGTCAAGGTCAAAAGGTCAAAGTTGTTGGTATGTAAAGGAAGGCCTTGTCACAAAATATACACATGTGAAGTTTGAAACCCCAAGCAACAACTGTTCAGAAGTTATGGCCAAGGTTAAAGTCTCATAAAATTTTGCAAAAGTGGGTCAAACTCCAAGGTCAAGGTCATAAGGTCAAATATGGTGGTACCCAAAAGAAAGGTCTTGTCACAAGGAATACACATGTGAAATATGAAAGTCATAGCTCCAACCAATCAAAAGTTATGGGCAAGGTTAAAGTTGACAACAGACAAACAGACAAACGGACAAACAGACAAACAGATAAACAGACAAACAGACAAACAGACAGACAGGACAAAAACAATATACCCCCGGGATCTTTCGATCCGGGGGCACAAAAACATTCTGATTGTATACACAAGTACTCTGAAGTTGATATTAAAAGATGCTTGAGTTTCCATTCTTATGTCGATACGATATATCCCGGTGAGTTTGAAATAAGAGTCTGACACATCTGTTTCATATTTGGATATTTTACTAGAAAAAGACGTTAATGATAATCTAACAACCAAGCATTATGATAAACGTGACGACTTCAACTTTTCAATCGTCAACTTCCCATACTTATGCAGCAATGTGCTTTCATCACCTGCATACGGGATTTATATATCTCAGTTGATTTGATACACAAGAGCATGCTCTACGTATGAACAATTTCTAAAACGAGGTAAGTTATTGACAAACAAGTTGATGAAACACGAAAATTATCAGTCTCTTTTAAAATCGTCATTTCGTAAGTTCTATGGTCGATACAATGACCTTGTCAACTAATACAATTTATCATTAAGTCAAATTCTGACTGACGTTTTTCATACTTATTGTTAGGCCATTATTTTACACACTGAATTGTCGACGGATTTTTCCGTTACTTCCCGATCATGATAAGGAGCACACGGCGGGTGTGACCGATCGGCGGGGGATACTCACTCCTCCATGGCACCTGATCCCACCTCTGATGTTTTAGAGGTCCGTGTTTGCTCTGCTCTCGATTTATATTGTTTAATGCACTTTTGAGCTTGAATACTATTCGTTATCACCATATATTTCATCCTTGTGTCGTATTTTTACTGATAAGTTTCGTATTGTAAGGCAGTTTTTTTTTAATACTAATTTTACTATGGATTATTTCGTTTACTTGATCAATAAATAGGGCTTTACATTGGTGTGACAATCCTCAAGGTATGTTTACTCCCCCGAGGCACCTGATACCACAACCTGTGTTTCAAGAGTTCCATGCTTTTTGCCCTGTTCACGTTTCGTATTGACATAGGATTTATAAAATTGAATTTTTTATAGCAAAGCTTGAGCATAGAGCTGCCAGATAAAGGGGGGGGGGTGTGAAAATTACCCAAATTCTAGACCCATGGCATTACTTTTTTTCTATACTTATTAGCTTTCAATGTTTGAACCAAGGCGATATCTCAGTCAATTGGCAAGCCGATCCTACTCGGAATCATTTTGCTTTCATTTTTTGTGCGTCTTCTCACATTTTTAGGAAACATTTTATTATCAAGATCAGCATATGACTTAATTCATTTGCAATATTTACCTGAACTGGCATAAACTGTATCTATAACTTAAAAAGTCCTATACTGTTATATCACTTATTTTCAAGGTGTCAAATCTCGTGGTTTGAGGATAAAATATAAATTAGAGGCGCTCTTATTTCATTGTTTTTAATCAGACATATAATGATTGTACTTTAAAATTTTAACACTTCATGAAGGACATGAATTCATGAATGTCTTTCTACCGTGAAAACAACGTAAATTAAACCCAACGAAAATAAGCGAGTTCACACTTATGAGATATTTAACAGGAAAGAAAGAGAAACACTCAACAGAAACATTAAAGCATGCTTTTGCTTAAGGACAATGACCTATAAAATATCCCATTCTAAAACTGTTCACTATATAAATTAAATTAGAATATGACAATAAGGTGAAAAAAAATGAAAAAAAAAGTTTCTTTAGATTGAATTGTGTGATGTACCAAATAAATGCAAACATTAATATATATTTCTAAAAAGTAAATCTTCAATTTTAGATAGATCAACATGCAATATATAAAGACGATCATATTTTCGACAAAACTTTTTACAACAAGCCAAAATTAGATTTCATTCAGAAACATTTTGGATAATCACTCTATACAAACTTCCTAAAGAAGGACATTAGAACACTTCTTAAACTATCCATGCCACGCCTTACCAACAACGTTCAGTACTAATTCTGTATATAACAAAGATTTATATACAATCAACGGCGCCGCTAAAGGACCAAACAAAATAAATATATACATTATACTTATTCGTTCGGACAAAATAGGTACTCTTTCGGACGAATTAAATATTTTTTTTCAGAAAATTATTTATTCTTTCGGACGAATAAGATATTTGTTCGGACAAACTACTTCTTCGTTCAGACAAATTAGATATTAGTTGGACAAATTTCATCAACCCTTCAGCGTCGCCGTAACATTCAAGTGAAATGCCAAAATGCAAAATATATTTAAAATTATGAATGTACATGTAGTACATGTATGAACAATTAATAAACTTTTAATTAAATTTGCTCTTAATGATGTTCAAAATAAATTTCTGGCTCCATGAGCATCAACTGAGAACAGACTTAATTCAAGGTACAGACTTTCAATATTTTGAGTTTCAATTTAACAAACATTCTTTAAAATGTACAATTTTGTATAATATTAAATTATGCATGATAAGTTGTGTTATTTTCAATTTATTTTGCAAGTTATATAAATTCGAAATTTTGACTCAGGCCTGTTCTCAGTAATAGTTTTGGGAACTAGTTTTTACTTTGACATAAAATATGTGTGTTAAAATGTTTCTGAAGTTACATATCTGCCTTGGTAATTTATAATCACAAGAGTATATTTTAATATACTTTGTTGATTTTAAAAATCATATCTACATGTTTTAGATCTTGGTATATGTATACTTTTCAATAGAGACAATGGCAATAGAGACGGCACACACCCACAAACACACACACATACACATTCTGATATCTATATAATTTTTTTGGAGAAGAAATAGCTCACCTGGACTGTAAGCTGTAGACATATCCCTCTGTTTCCACAGAATAAAGCGCTATAGAGTCTCCAATACATAGATAGTCCCCGGCGGTAGTATTGCTAAGTAGAGCCATAGCAACAGGAAATCTACTGTGTTCTGTTTGATCAAAAACAAATCATACCATCAGAATATTAATAAACAGTTTGGTACGAAATTATAACACCCCACCCCAACCCCGAAAAAAAAACATACGAGACTAAACAAATTTTTTAAAATTGAAGAAAAAAAATACAAAACCCTAAAGTTTCTGTCTGGTAAGGTCAATTAAAAATTGTGAAATTTTCTTATATATTGATATATAAGAAATGTATATAAAATGTTCATGTCTTATTCCTGGCGGACCTATTCAAAGCGTGGCACATTCAGTGGTCTCTTCAGGACAGATGATACAAACAAAAAAAGATGCCTGGATTGTTATATATTTTTGGATCTAATTTGGTTGTAAATGATGAAAATAACAAATTTCTAAAATATTAAGAAATTGTAAACTTTCTCTCATGTTCAAAATTCTACTGTTCAGCAATCACCCTTATAAATTTATACAGTTTTTTTATTTCTTTATTAGACCTTATTGTGAAATTTTGATTGAAAAGTGAAAATGTATGCGGTTAAACTTATTCATTTTACTTATATAATCATGACTAAAGTTGTCATTTTCATGGTTTTTGAAAAAAAAAATTTTGTTTCATCTGTCCTTAAAATAATTTCTGAATCGGGAATATTCAAAAATATAAATAATTCGTAGTTTTTTTTTTCTCTTTTTGTTTTGTTGTGTTTTGTTTTGGTTTTGTCTGTTTGTTTAAATTTATTTGTTTTTGTTTTGCTATTTAGTATCCCATTTTCTGCATTAATGATTCCTGTTGAAGTTGTTAAATAATAGTAATGGGTGTTTGAATGAATTAATAAAATATATATGCATGATTTTAAAAAGAGAACTTAACATAAACATGTCATGTCAGTATCCCTAAATGACGTTTAAGAACTGGGTTACAGTGCCAAGATATCGACCATCTGAAACAAAATCCTGTTACGTGGTCTTTTTTTCTCCCTAGAACTATAGTTCTGCTGGGCACGTTGTTATTGGTGATGCGAATATAATAAACGGTGATAACCTTAAAGCACTCGTTTTAAAAAAGCCAAAATAAAGAAAACCCCGATCTTTCATCAGAAGACAAAATTTGAATTCTGTCCAGATTTTTCCAGACAATGTGTCAAACTTTAACTTTGACAGAATGGATAAAGAGTATAACGTGGATGTTAAAATCTCTGGTTAAACGATTGAGGAGCAATATGAGAACCATCTACCCTTATATCTTCACTTATTCACAAGTAACTTAAGAATTAGATAGATTACATGACCAATATGCACTAGTCCCACCGAAAGAAGGTAGCAAAAAAGTCTTTGTAAGGCCCAAAATTACACTTGTATTTTAGAGGAATTTAATTCTACCTATGGTAATCCAATTTATAGTTTTAGTTCACCTCTAAGGAAGAAATTCTTCAAAATATATGTCAATTTTAAACATTTTCAATATTCACAACAACCAAACTGAATTACCATACCTATGCTGGATACCAAAACTTCACAAAAATCCTTACAAAGATACATTGCAGGATATAGTAAAAATTTCTACTAAGCTTCTTTCTTTACTCCTCTCGAAAATATTAACAGCAGTGAAATAGAAACATTCTCAGTACTGTAAAACAACATGTTCGAGGAGTTGTGGTAATCAAATTGGACACTAAAAATGCAAAGAACTTGTTGTTGATTCGATATGATTCGATATGCAAGAGTATATTCTATCTACAAACAATTTCTAAAACTTGACAGACAACTGATAAATAAGCTGATGATACAAGGGTATCAACAGTCTCGCTAGTCAACGTTCCACAAATTCTATGGTCAATTCAATGATCTTGTTGGCAAATAAAGTCTGTCATTAGGTCGAATGTTAACTTTCATACAAATTGTTAGGTCATTATATTCTTAATGAATTGTTTACGGATTTCTTCGTTTCCCGAACATGATATGGGTCATGCGGCTGATGTGACCAGTCGACAGAGGATGCTTACTCCCGTATGATAACTCATCCATAATCTAATGTTTTCAAAAGTGCTTTGCTCACAGTTTGTATTGTTAAATTTGACTTTTGAGCATGACTGCTGTACGCTACGAAGAACTGCGAACGATAGTATTGTCCTCCCGCCTACCTTCAAGTCAATTTTCAAAAGTTAGTATATTTGAATGATTTTTCTTATTTTTATAGATATTTATATAAATTTTCATTAAACATGACTTATTTGGGAAAACGAAGAGAGATAACTCTATAATTTTGGTAAAACTTGTGTTTTTCACGATAGAAATCAATGGAAAAAGGAAAATATTTTTAAAACATCTTTCCCCCGCGTGAAACAAAAATTCCTTTTTACAGGTAATATGGATTGTTATTTCACAAATTCATACCAAAGCTTTTTGTGTTTCACGGGGGGGAACATATGTTTACAGACAAAAAACGACAAAAATGCTCATTTTTTTCACCAATTTCGAAGGCGTTTACAACTTAAACGTTGTATTTTATCAATTACATATGTTTAATTTTATATGCGTAAATCATAAGGAAAGATTTAAAGAACATTTATCCATATCCAAGAATATTTTAAAACATGCTGATGCTTTCAAGCCTGATTTCAATGGAAAACAACGTCTACCCCCCTTATAAAAAGAGCTGGGATTAAGAGTAATTTACTATTTAACACTGGTATTAAAATTATTAATCAATTACCATTGAACTCTTCTTTGCATTCAACAAAGATTTTTTTGACAAATTACCATTAGTATTGAATTAAATGGGTGTAAAATGTAGGCGGGAATCGGGAGTTAGCGTGCGTAGTTCTTTGTATCATTTCATTGGACTTTCGAGATTGGGTGCTGTTTGTTGTCTTCATATTTCCTTCACATTTCATAATTATATTTCCAATAGATTATATTTCTAATAGAACCATATATCCTTTAAACATCAGATCCTACATTTTTACTTCATGTGTTAAAGAAATGTCTTGATTGTTTCGTTTGTGTTACAATAATTTCCGACTGAGCTTTCCACTGCCTTACAATGTCTGCTTTTACACAATGAATTGCTGTCTATTCATGCCATAACAAGTTCCATGTCCCTTTCATTCGAAATATCACCTTTCACTACGTGTCAGAAAGTCTTAGAAAATTAGAAAAAGCTCACTCACACAATATCCTGGACTTAAGTTAAAAATACCGATTTTAAAAGAATTTTCATGAAATTAAAAATTCACGAAATATAAAACTACATCGAGATTCATTTTCAAGATTAGTTTCTGTGTTGAAAATTGATGATTAAATTTAGAAATTAATATATTATTATTCAATACATTATTTGTTCATTGAGATGTCCCCCAGAATCCCAATTTGACGTTCCTTTCCCAAAGAACAGTATTATATTTAAACAAACCTAAGTCCATGGTAGCTTAGTCCCACCCTTTCTAAATATAGCTAGACAGGGGGATATAAAATGTGTTTCCTGTACGTAAACAAAAAAGAAAATTAAATCAATTACACCTTTCTATATTTTTTTATGAGAAGTTTTGTAAATAATACACAATCCTTTCTCCAAATATCTGTTGCATCTCTTGCGTAAAGAAAATTTCATTATGGTCAATTCTGGAAAAAAGAGGAAGAAAAAAATAAAGATAAACATATATCTTCCCTTTCGGGCTGTGTAGATCATTTCACGTCAGATTTATCGCGCAAATGAAACGGCGGAGTGTACAAAACTCGAGACTGAAATAATGTAATTGCAATGTAAAAGTAAACAGTTAAAGTCTGTTAAAGGTTTTTGCGCTGTTTTTAAAACCGTGAAAGTACATAGCTCAAAACATGCCGATGTTCTTGGTAAAAAAAAATACATTTCTTCAAATTTATTTTCAACTTCGATTTTAAAGCGTGTTGATTAAAGAAACCATTTTAATTACTTCATTAAATTCAAATTTCCATGTCATCATAATGCCGATTTTAATACTCAAGATACAGTGTATCACTGATCCTCACAAAAGTTTTTCTTTTTAACATAAGAGGGTATAGGAGTCGTTCTGACGCTTGCTTAGAAAACAAATGATATGAAAATTTCCGCATTTATCAAAGTACACTAATACATATAGAAACGATTATTTCTCTGAAATTCAATTCGCTTAAATTTCAATAAAATTCACTAAAATTATGAGATACAATTAAGTTTATTATTTCAGTATGTTTCAAATTGAACTTCTTGTAACTTCTTTACGTGGACTTGATTGGGTATAAAATGACAGACACAAAATTGAAGTCTTAAAACAAGAAGTCATTCTCCGTAAACTACATGTGTACAATCTTGTAAAAAAAAAACTCCAGAAATTATAGAGATGAGAAACATTTGTAATCTGATCCCTATTGACATAGGGCAACATGGAAAAGAAGTTAACAATGACCTGAAAGAAAACAACCTGTTTGCCCACAAAAAGTGGGTTTTCTTTGAATTACACAGATCAAATCCAATAGCATGTTTGACCCATCCACTCGGGCTGAATTTGTTTTTAAAAAACAAACTTTTTGTTGAAAAAGCATGTAGTGTTTTCTCAGGTAATTTTTAATTTATTTTTTTTTTTCATATTTTATGTTGCGTTATTGGGGTCAATTGGTGAATACTTAACCAGGGTACTCTATGTTTTGCCAAGTTTCTTGTCCCATTGTTAATTACTATGACAGATGGAAGACCTGCACAATTTTGTTCAGCGGAAATTTTCCGTTTAAAACAGGGATTGCTACTTGCATGTGGTCAGAGAATTTCGCACCAAGTTGCAGCAAATTTGCAAGACGCATACTTAACAAGGTGCTTTGTAAAACATTTTTATTTAAGTAACACATTTAAATTGTTCATAAAAATGAAATTCAAAGATCTTGTAATAAATAGTAAATTTCTAACACAGCGAAGATGTCAAAAAAGGAGAGTTCAAGTATTACAAATGTTTTATGTAATTCACAATATTGTCCTTTCATAAAAACTATTT